TAGGCCGATGGAAGCGAACAGAGCGCAGAACGTAGGCTTCAATGGCAAGGCCTGAGGCTTCTACTATCTGACGGGTGGCTTGCAAGGCCATGACCATCATGGCAGCAGCTGGATAGATGACGCGACGATTGATCCGATGGTCCCGGATCCATGGCATGTCTGCAGCTTGCACACAGTTCCGCCATTCGGGGGCCAGAGGGTTCCATGTCAGGATTGGGCTTCCCAACAACGCTAAGCGGCCATGCGGCCGCAGCCGGTAGTTCTTACTGAGTGGGCTCTCTGCCCAGTAGGACTCGGAATGATCAAAGGGGTAAGTAGGTGCGTCTATGAGGACTTCATGGCAGCGACCTGGGTCATTAACTGCGCGCAAATCAAGCGAAGTCCCCGCGCAGTAGAGCTGACCGAGAACAGACAGGAGGGTGGTGGATGCTGGCTGGCCCCGCACGAGTGTTGATAGGTAGGTGCAATGGTCTTTTTGACTGTCATTTGTTGACGCGGCCAATGTTTCGAAGATTGGCAATCGCAACGCGGAGTGAGGGCCAACTTCGATCAGATGATCGACCACTATGGCTTGACGATGGCTTCCGTCGATCTTCTTCCGGAGGCAACGTGGAGAATCACGACACAGACGTTGAATGGCCGGAGCAAACAACACCGGCGATATCAAATTGTCCACCCAGTAGCTGGCATTGCGGGCGCGCTCACCGTCTAAGGGCTCTCCAGTTACGGTAGATATCATGGTAATCGTCGAGTGTGGGGTATGATAGTGATAACCCTCTTCGAGGTTTGCGAAGTGACGCCGGCAGTCGTCAGCAATCTGTTGTATTTGAGGGGAATGATATGCTGCAGCAACTTTGAGGCGACGCGAAAAGATGCCTGCATCTCTTAGCATCTGGTCCAGATACTTGATCTGACTTTCTTCGCCGGAGATAGTCGTGTTTGAGGGACTATTAATGCATGCAACGACCACTTTCTCGGGCTCGGGTAACTGAGCTATATACGACTGGGCTTGCGTCGCAGACAGTCCAACCGCCAACATGGCGCCTTTGTTACGGTCTTGCTCGATCATAGAGGCCACGAAGTAGCCACGGTAGTATGCGATCCGCAAAGCTGAGCTACGAGATATAAAACCCGCACAGTACCTAAGGGGAAGTTAGCAACCTGAAAAACGAATCAGAAGGTTCTTTCCTACGCCGCAGCAATTTCACCCATTGAATGGCCCACGACGGCCAAAGGCCGCACCTGAAAAGAGTCCAGAAGATCCACTAAGGCTATCTGCAACGTAGCCGTCAGGGCTTGGGAAATATGCGGCTCGTTAATCTGAGACGTGAATTCGCTTTTCAAGAACTCCTCTGGGGTAAAGTGCAAGAGTCAGCTATGAGCACGCAACGAACGTGTACACTTATTAGGGCTGCCCCCGACTCACCGCTTGCGGACCAAGGACAACCTAGCCGGCGAAACAGAGTATCGGCCTCCATTATGACACGGGAAAATGCAGGGTAGTGCAGCAATTCCCGGCCCATTGCATACCATTGTGCTCCCTGGCCGGTGAAGATAAACGCCAACCGAGGGGGCATTGGGCCGGTGAGCTTCGGCGCGGAGGCACGCTTGTTCAGCTGCTTCCAGTCGGTGGATGAGGATGCTACTGCATAAGATTTCCAAGGAAAGACGCTGCGGCGTGAGTCAAGCGTGTAGGCAGCGTGTGCTGTCCAAGACGGCCCGCGTTGATACTCTCCGCCAGAGACAGTTTCCGCCCAGCGGCTTACAAGCGACTTGAGGGATTTCTCACTTGCCGCAGACCAGACAAGTAATCGTGGGATCTCAGCCATTCCCTTTTGTTGCGGTAACAACTCCTCATGGCATCCTATGTGTTGTGGCCGACGCATGAACTGCTCCAGGCTACGATCATTGTCCGGCACAGTTCGATGATTGCCCTGTAGCTGATGTCGTCGGAGATAGCTTGCTGCATCATCGATGACAATGTGGCAATTACTGCCTCCAAACCCAAAGGAGTTTATTGAGGCGCGACGGATCTCAGCTGGAGGCCACATGATGCCCTGCGCTGGGGGTACAGCCAAACAAGAATCATAGGGTTCCAATTGTGGATGCAGTCGCTCGAAGTTTGTATTGGGTGGAATGATGCCGCGCTCCACGGCCAGAATAGCCTTTATAACACCGGCTATCCCACTTGCACCTTCAAGGTGTCCGATATTGGTCTTAACCGCACCCAGGTATAGCGGACTATCTGCCGTACGGTGGTTGCGAAAGCAGTCAGCAATGGCGGATACCTCGGCTGGATCGCCAATCGGCGTGCCGGTGCCATGGGCCTCGAAAAACCGAGTATAATGTAGAGAAAGTCCCGCTTGGGCATAGGTGTCTCGAATGAGCTGAGATTGGGCCTCACTTGCAGGCTGTGTGATGCCGGGAGTGCGGCCGTCTTGATTGCTGGCCGTGGCACGGATGACAGCGCGAATGGTATCATTGTCACGAAGGGCGTCAGAGAGGCGTTTGAGCACCAGAACAGCAACGCCTTCTCCACGTGAGTAACCGTTGGCACGAGAATCGAAGGCGTAGGAGCGGCCATCGGGCGACAACATGTGGTTATTGCTGAGTATAATGCTGTAGTCCGGGTCGAGGAGCAGGTTGCACCCGGCAGCAAGACCCATGTCAGTTTGACCACTGAGAAGGAGGCGGCAAGCACAGTCAATAGCCAGGGCACTACTAGAGCAAGCCGAATCGATATTAAAGGACGGTCCACGCAGATTGAAGAACCAACTGATTCGGTTGGCCAGCATGGACGAAGAGGCGCCGACAGCTGCGTAGGGCGGTAGTCGTTGAGGGTCTTTGAGCAATTGATGGAGGTAGTCATTGGAGAAGCAGCCGGTATGAACTGAGGTCCGAGATCCATGTAGGTCTTCTATCCGAATCCCAGCCGTGTCCAGAGCCTCCACTGTGGTCTCAAGGAGCAATCGCTGCATGGGATCCATGGCCGCTGCCTCGGATGGGGTAATTGAAAAGAAGTCAGCATCGAAGCGACTCAGGTCTTCTTGCAGGAAATGTGCGCCACGCGTGCCGAGCTCATTACGTCGCGTAGGATGGTAGAAGGCGTTGATATTCATTCGATCCCCGGGGAACTCAGTGCGTGCACTGCGGCGTTCCATGAGCATCTTCCAGAAGCCATCTTCCGAAACGGCGTCCTGAGGAAGCTTGAACCCAATACCACATACGGCAATGGGCTCCGCAAACTCACGATCCTCATCGAGATAGCAAGCGCCCTCGCTGGACGTACTTGGTGTTGGGTGTCTTTCGAAGAACATTGGTACAACGTGCAATACTAAGAGATAGGGAAAGCATCACAATCATTGAGATGGGCTTGAACAATTTCGGAAGGAGGACAAGAGAGTGAGCTGCCTTTATACCTCAGCCTTCCTAGGCAGTCTGAGCTTCTGTCCATAAGCGAAGCAAAGTAGGAAGATGTCGTAAGACACTCGGGTTTTCCAAATATTGACTAGTCATCAGCTCCCCCCAGGCCATCCCTAAGGCAGTATATAATTCGTGTAAATAACCCTGAAAGTGGTCAGCAAATTCCTACCCTAAACCTCCAAACATATTTCTGCATCATCTCATTAATTCGCCATTCTAGACTTCATCGCTCACCTTATTGACTATGCGCTTCTTGTGCCTTCACGGAGCTGGCACTAACAGCAAGGTCAGTTGCTAAATCACAATATCTTCGCAATCCATCATGGCTACTAACTCAAGCAACTGAACGTACAGATCTTCGAAGCCCAAACTGGTAGGAGCCAAAGAACCAACCCTCTACTCGGCCCTCCTTCAACCTCTCCCCTTCTGAAGGTGCACTCAAATGGTTTGGCTTGATCTGGACTAACTTCGCACCGCCCTCGGGGTGTGGGTTGACTAGCGGCACTACGATATGAACTTGGTGGTAATCATACGTACGAATTCGTCGAGGGCCATATCCCTCAGCCTCAAGCCCCAGGTGCGTCAATATTTATCCGAGTCTCATGCTCCAGTAAGACGGAAATCAAGACTTGGTTATGCGAAGGGCCTGCTGGTGCATACTAACCAGTTTCCAAATTAGCAATCGAACGGTTCGCAACAAGCGGGGATGAGTACTATGCCTACTACATCCCGGGTAGCCAGTCGTCATTTACCACCGCCAAGGCACATTTGCAGGCCTACGTGGAAACCGAAGGACCGTTTGATGGTGTGATCGCTTTTTCACAAGGCGCCTCCCTGGCCAGTGCTTTGCTGCTCGGAGATGAGCACGCAAAGGCACTGCCCTTTCGCTGCGCTATCTTGATATGTGGTCGTTTGCCAATGACAGACGAGCGTTCCTTATGCAATGTGATGGGGGCGGGAAAGGAAGGCCTGCAGAAGGAAGATGAGGAGAAGGTGGAATATAATGATGACAATAGTGGCTGGGACTGCAAGGAACGGCAAATCAGAGTTCCGACAGTGCATATCATGGCGGCTAATGACCCAATTGACCCCGGTCATGCTAAGGCCCTTTGGGCCTGCTGCAATGCGGCAGTGCGGTGGGAGTGTGTTCATGAATTAGGGCATGAGGTACCTGGGGCTCGAGACCAAGAGGTGTTGGTGGAGAGCGTCAACGCTATTCGACGCATGCTGGGCGCAGTGGGAAGCACGTGTTGAGAGACTGTATAATACACTTGTAGCTGACAGAGGATCGAGACTAATCTTGAAACATACTATTTGCAGGGTTAACCTACCGCCGTCCCTATTCATCCTCCCGGTCTTGGATCCTGAAGAACACGTTATAGGTGCAGACATTCTGCCCCCACCCCCCTTCATGCCATCTAACGCATTTTCCCTTCCTTCTCATCAATGACAAACACTAATAAAAGTTCCCGCCGTGTCCCTCAGGCCATCCATGCATTCGCCCCCAAAAGTAAGCACTAATGCATGCCCTCAAGGGAGGTGGGCGGGCGGGCTGATAAGCTCGATGGACTGTAGTTACGACTTTGGGATGGATGTTTTGTGACATTGATGTTTGTTGTACATCAGTAAGGGGTCAGCGTCCGCTTCATCTCCATCCTAGCATGGCCGATCGACGTCTGAGATAAGTTGTTCTCTATTTAGACCACCACCATCACCATCACCATCATCATTACCAGTATCATTACCATCAGGCCAAGATCCTATCACACTACCTTTCGTACCGTCATAGTGCTGTCTTCACTTGCCACCTTTACCATTACTATCAGTATCGTTGAAAAAATCATGTCAGGCACAACGGAAGTGAACTTGCAAGAGGACCGAGGCCCACGCATGCGCGTTCTGCTAATTATCATGGCCATTTTACCTAGCATTGCCATTGCTCTGCGGTTCTGGTCGCGAACGAAATTGCCCACGAAGGGCTCATTTCCACGCCTATGGTGGGATGACTGGGCTGCTCTTCTGGCCGGGGTAAGTACTAGTATTCTGATTTAATCTCCGATTGGATGTATTTCTCTCTTTTCTTTTTTGGATTTTTTCACTAAATGTCAACAGATGATCAACATTGCCGTGTGTGCCATGGGACTCAAAATGTGCGACATTGGCATGGGGCGGCATGTGGAGGTGGTGTCAGCGGAGAATTTGACAATCTTCCTGAAACTTCTCTGGGCGGAGTATTTCGTGTTTGACACGGGCACTTCGGTGGCCAAAGCCTCAGCCTTGTTCTTCTACTCGCGGCTCTTCAGCCAGGCTAACACCCGCTTTCGATATTGCATCTATGTGGTGCATGCATTGAACGCCCTCTGGCTGATGGGCATTCTCCTCTCCGTCATCTTCGAATGCACGCCGATCCAGAAGGTCTGGGACCCCACCCTGCCCGGTCGATGTGATAATTCCCGCATTCTGTGGATGGGCAGTGGCATTCCCAGTTTGATTATTGATGTTTTCATCCTGGTCCTTCCGGTGCCTATGGTCCTGCGGCTAAAGATGAATCCCACCCGAAAGATGCTGGCCATCGGTGTAATTGTGCTCGGTTATTTGTGAGTATTATTATTGTTACCCACCCCTCTCTCCGATTGCTTTATGAATAAAAAACAACAATATTAATCGTATGACTTGCTTATGTTGTCTAGAGTGGTAGTTGTCTCTATTGGTCGACTTGTCTCGATCGTTCAATCCGGCGACGGACTTCAAACCGATCCTACCTGTAAGCCTCATTCCACCCCCCCCCCCCCCCCCCTCCTTCCCCCTTCCCTTCCCTTCCTTTCTTTCTCAGACTATTTGGCATTTTCAATATGAAGCCAAGTAAGAAATAATATTTAATTGTTAGTTAAAATTCTAATAACATACCAAACAGTTAACATCATTACCCCCGTCTATTGGCTGGGATCCGAAATCCCCATCTCGGTCATCAGTGTCTGTCTGCCAAGTATTTTTCTCCTCGTCCGTCATCTCTGCGCCCGCCAGTTCCACACTCTCGGGGGTAGCAGTAACGGCACGCCTCAAGATTCCTATCGTTCCTCCACCCGCAAGTTAATCTACCAGAAGCGCCCTGAGCGGGGTTCAAGCTTACGGGGAGGCGTCCTCCGCGGCGACTTCCCGCATCCTGCAGATAGCAACAATGATATAGTCCCGCTTAATTGGGTGGAGCCGTCCATTATAGCTCCACAGTCGATGCGAGGGAGTGCACCTAGGGCCGGAGAGATTATGGTCAAGAATGATATTGTAGTGTCTTAACTAAGCTTACGTGGAAGCGAAGGGGGTGGCGTTGGCATCAACCGGTTTTGCTGTGGTTGATTGATTGTTCTTTTCAAGGTAACCATCTTGTCAGGGGAAATAGCGGCAAGTCAGTCCGAATTTCGCTTAGTGGCGTAGCAATGCAAAAAAGGAATCTTATTTGCTTCGGTGAATTCGTCAGTGATAAGGCTGTGCCAACACGCTGCGGCGGCTGACTGCTGCATGGTGTATTATCTAGCGTCAACTGCGCTGGCTCGCCTTTGCCGCTTCAGGTATATGGATCGGGTCTTCCATCCCTGCATGTCATGGCTGTGATGGCCCCCATTTTTTTGCCGTGTGTCACCGGCTACTTTCAGGCTCGTCACTGACCTTACAGGGATAGTCCTCCAATGCGCAGCTCTAGAAAGCACTCCCCAACTCATACACTGGGCTTAAGTATGATGTCTTGAGAACCCGTCTTACGATGGGAAGGGAAGTGAGTAGTTTGCCTGAACGCCTCCCACAATATTCCCCATTTCCCATACTCTTGCTCTTACCTTCTATGTCTCTCTCTTTCCTGTCAGTTCCTTAGAGCCTTGCACCCTCCAATTTCTAGTCTCAATTCATCATGTCCGAGACTCGAGCTTCAACAACGGTTGAGGGCCACGAGACAGCCAAAAATGTTCCGGGCCACCACGATTCGAAGCCTCTGACATGGTTTCTCGTTGTCTTCTCCTTATTAGCAGCCCTGTTCCTGTTTGCACTGGACAACACCATTGTGGCCAATGTTCAACCTGCTATCATCGGAACTCTGGGGGAAATTGAGAAACTCCCATGGATCTCCGTTGCATTTGCCCTTGGGGCCATCGCGACTGATCTCCCCTGGGGTCAGATATACGGACACTTCAACAACAAATTCCTCTTCCTCGCCAGCGTAGTGATCTTCGAGGTGGGCTCCGCTGTCTGCGGAGCGGCACCCACGATGAACGCGCTGATCGTGGGTCGGGCGATTTGTGGCATCGGCGGCATGGGCATCTATCTGGGCACGGTCAACATGGTATCGGCCTTGACCACGGAAGCCCAACGACCGCTCTACCTGGGGTTTGTCGGGTTGACATGGGGAATTGGAACCATTCTCGGACCCATCATCGGCGGTGCCTTCGCCGACAATACCTCTGCCACCTGGCGCTGGTCCTTCTACATCAATCTCTGCATCGGAGGGCTAGCAGCCCCGGTGTACTTCTGGCTGCTGCCCCAGACTGCCTCACCACGTCCAGGACAGTCGCTATTGACGCGTCTATGGGCGCTGGATGTGGTCGGGATGGTGCTGAGCGCGGGGGCCATAACCAGTCTCATCATGGCGATCTCGTTCGGGGGCAGCATGTATGCATGGGGGAGCGGGCGGATCATCGGACTCTTTGTCTGCTCAGGCGTTCTATGGCTGCTATTCATTGGGCAACAGGCGTGGTCGCTGGGACTACGACCGGAGGCGCAGGGCCAGCGGCTCTTCCCGACGACGCTCGTCCGCTCGTGGGAGATGGACGTGCTCTTCGCACAGATGGCCAGTGCCCAGGTGTTGGTGATGGTGCCCATCTACTTCCTGCCCATTCTGTTCCAGTTCGCGCATAATGACAGCGCGTTGGCTAGTGGGGTGCACCTACTACCATTTGTGCTCGTGCTAGTCGTGGCCGTTATGCTGAACGGTGCCCTCATGGCCCAGCTAGGCTACTACATGCCATGGTACCTAGTGGGTGCCTGTCTCGCCCTTGCTGGCAGCGCCCTTTTCTATACTGTCGGTCCCGACACCAGCAGCGCTCGCCTGTATGGCTACTCGGTGCTCACGGCCTTTGGCGTCGGCTGCTACTCCCAGGCTGGGTTTCCCGTCGCTCAGGTCAAAGTTTCCCCGGCCAAACTCACCCAGGCGGTCGCCTTTATCGGTGTCGGTCAGGTTGGCGGTATTGCCCTCGCCTTGACCATCTCCAACACCATCTTCCTCAACAAGGCCACTAGCCGCATCTCCACCATCCTTCCTCAGCAGTCTCGCTCGACTATCCAGCAGGCCATCTCCGGTGTGCGCGCTGAGTTGTTTAGCTCGTTGAGTGTAGCACAGCGTCAGCGCGTGGTGGCTGCCATTGTGAGCAGTGTCGATGATGTGTTTGTCCTGATGATTGCCGCTGCCGCTCTGTCTGTGGTGCTGGCGTTGGTCATGAAACGGGAACGACTATTCGTGATACCGTCGCAAGGAGATGGTGAAGAGGTCGAAGAAGAAGTAATGGGAACTAAAGAACAGGGCTTACAATAATTTTCTACAAGTTTAGAAGAAGAGAGAAATCTACGTAGTGAACGGGAAAGAATGTTGTGATAAAATCGGGGTTAGACTTGGGCCTTGGTGCTTAGGGCTTGGTTTTTGGTGGTAGTAGCAATAGCATTCTAATTGAAGGTGAATTGGAGCTGTTCATTCAATTGCCACGATTCCTACAATTTGATTTCACTCCTTCCCCCGCTTCCTTCCCGCCGCCCCCACCAACATCTGTGGAGACGTGAATATTATCACTCCTCCCCGAATGCTTATTATATCCTACTCCTCCATACGTAGTACCTCCTGAACAGGAGTAGTGCAGAATGCCCTCTGGTGCATGAGTGCACAGTACCTAGTATTATCCGCAGTCTACGTAAGTAGATGGTGGGTATCATTCCTATGGAGGCAGTGCAAGGCTCTCTCTCGTAAGATCAATACTCCATGCATATACCCCCTTGTCTAGTTCGCTCTTAGTTATCTACTCCTTACAGGGAGATTCCCCTCCTCCTTGGCGATCATCCTTGACTTCATCCCCACTAATTTCTGACGGCAGCCACCCACATTCTTAGACTCGACCAAACACTAGTCAGCCCATCCTTTCACAACCTAAATTAAGATGCAGTAGTCAACGGGCTAGACAAGGCCCTGTCATCCAATCGTGGAAAATCACGCAGCCACTTGAACCGTCAGAGATGATCTCCCCACCGGCGACATCGGCTAACGTTGCTGTTGACCAGGATACTCGCTTGATTTTCCAGGACAGGGCAACAAAGAGATAGCATTGCTGCCTCGTTTCACTTTTTGAGGTTGATGGAGTACATACTTTGTACCACCGGAGTACCAATCACTACCTTACTCTATCTATGATTCAGCCTTGTCTCGAATGAGTATAATATATTAACCCCTCCTCCTCCTCCCAGGGAACTTCCCCCCTCTCCGTAGGAACTCATATTTCCAAGCTCTCCCCTTCTCTCTTACACACTCACACCCTCAATTCTACCCACCTTCTCTCTCCCATCTACTGTCTTTCCTCCCACATCTACAATGGTCATCAGAGGCACTCAATTAGATGGCGTCGCCCTTGTCGTCGGCGTAAGAATCTGCCCCCATCCCCCACCACAATGAACCCCCCTTCCCAACTAACCTCCCATCAATCCAGTCTGGTCGCGGCATCGGCCAACAAGCCGCCTTCTCCCTAGCCGAAGCAGGCGCCCGTGTCATCGTCTTCGCCGACATGAACACCGAAACCGCCACTGCCTCCGCCGAAGAGAGCAAGCAATACGCCACGAACCCCGAATACCAATCCACTCACTTCACCGTCAACGTGACCGACCAAGACGGCGTGCAAGCCATGGTTGACTTTGTCGTCGAGAAGTTCGGACGGCTGGACTATGCCGTCAACGCTGCAGGAGTGAGTCCCATCCACCATCATCATCCATTGAGAAAATTCCACAACAACCTAGCGCATATTTCTCTTCCCACCAAGCTAACCCCCCAATCAAATAGGTCGACAACGGCGTGCACACTCCCTTCGCCGACACCGACATCGACAACTTCGACCGCGTCCAAACCATCAACGCCCGCGGTATGTTCCTCTGCTGCCGCGCCGAAGCCGCCGCCATGCGCAAGCAGACCTCACGCAGTTTCACCAGCCGCACCGGCACCCGGGACATTGGTCGCGGCGCCATCGTGAACGTCTGCTCAGCCAACTCCTTCGCCGGGCTGCCCGGGAAGGGATCGTATACCGTCTCTAAGCATGCTTGCATGGCGGTGACGAAGATGGTTGGTATGTTTTGCCCCCTTCCCCTTCGCTCATACTTTATACACGATACTATTCTATCCAATCCAACTCCCGTTTCCCTAATATAAACAATATATTAATATTATCTGGTACAGGACTGGACCACTCCGCCGAAGGCATCCGCTGCAACGCCGTATGTCCCATCTGGGTCCGCACTCCTCTTCTTGACGTCGAGTTGGAGCGGAACCCGCAGGTGCGCGCGGAAATCGAGGCCGTTATACCGATTAAACGTGCGGCGGAGAGTGATGAGGTGGGAGATACGATTGTTTATTTGCTTAGTCCATCGGCGAGTTATGTTAATGCTACGAGTTTGTTGTTGGATGCGGCGGTTACGGCGACGTTGAGGTTTCATTGATTAGTATTTATATTTTATGTCTGGGCTGGTAGTTAATAGAAGCGTGAGAGGGTTATGGTATACGATGTATTCGATACAATGAATGAGTAATAGTCTGTGTGCAGTGGGTAAATGGCTCGAATTGTTGGGCATAATTTGTAGTTGTAGTACGCTGAATGAATGGTCGATTCCCGAATATATAAATCAAAGTAGAAGTCTACGTAGTCCAACCACATAAGTGCGTGTTAATCCCTTTTTAGCGATTTACTACGGTATATAGAGATTGACAGTAGGCATTCTTTCTACATACAAACTCCGTAGTATCTGCTACATATTCACAGTCTCATGGATATAGTTCAGCTATTCAAAGGATTCATGATTTCCCTTGAATATAGTACAGCGGGACAGGAGACACACAATAGATAGGTAAAAGGCTGTAGGTTATATCCGTTATCAGTGGCCTATAATACAAAAACATAGCTCCGTTTTCAACAAAATCCGATATGGTGTAGTGGCTAACATCGCCGTCTCTCACACGGCAGCCGGGGGTTCGATTCCCCCTATCGGAGCTCAAATTCTCTTTTTATTTTTTCCCTCTCCGGTTCTCCACTTTGCGAAAACTTGGTTTAGCAGTCAAAAGTAGTTAACGGTGCTCTGTTACATTCGAGCCACGACCCCACTGATGTCTAGTTTAATGTTAAGCAGTACTATTGTTTCGTTATATCTGGATACACAACCAACGATAGGAAAATATAATGAGGTCAATGCTACACGGAAGTGGCTAGCTGAGCTAGACTAAGATAAGAGACAAGAGGCAAAAAAGGGTACAGGATAGTGCGGGTGGGTGTGTATGGTTTCATGATCAAAACAGGGGGAGAGCTGCTTAGAAGTGGATGGCCTTGGAGTAGGTAGCCATGGCAGCCTCCTTGAAGGCCTCAGCCAGGGTAGGGTGAGCGTGGCAGGTGCGAGCAATGTCCTCGCAAGAGGCACCGTACTCGACAGCCAGGGTGGCCTCGGCGATCATCTCACCGGCGTTGGGGCCGATGATGTGGACACCGAGGATGCGGTCGGTCTCAGCATCGGCGATGAACTTGACCTGACCCTCAGTCTCGAGGTTGGTCTTGGCACGGGAGTTGGCGCTGAAGGGGAAGGTACCGACACGGTACTTGATGCCGGCAGCCTTGACTTCCTGCTCGTTCTGGCCAACCCAGGCGACTTCGGGGTGGGTGTACATGACGCTGGGGATGCAGCCGTAGTTGACGTGGCCGTAGCCCTTCTTGATGTACTCGATGGCAGCGACGGCCTCCTCCTCGGCCTTGTGGGCAAGCATGGGTCCGAAAGTGCAGTCACCGATCACGCGGATGTTGGGGATCTTGGTGCGGTACTCCTGGTCGATGACAAGACGGCCGCGCTCGTCCTTCTCGACACCGACGCTCTCGAGGTTGAGACCCTCGGTGTAGGGGCGGCGACCGATGGCGACGAGGACAACGTCAGCGTCGAGGGTCTCCTCCTTACCACCCTTGGCGGCCTCAACGCTCAGAGCGACGGTAGCACCGCTGTCGTCACCCTTGGTAACCTTGGTGCCGGTCTTGAACTTGATACCCTGCTTTTGGAGGATCTTCTGGGCCTGCTTGGCGATGTCGGCGTCCATGCCGGGACCACCAATCTGGTTCAGGAACTCGACGACGGTGACCTCAGAGCCGAGGCGGGACCAAACAGAGGCCTGTTGAGGGGCAGAAAAAGAAACCATGAGCATGAATTTTCAAACGGCAAGATCGGAATGTATTCCGCCGGGTATACGCACCATTTCCAGACCAATGATACCACCACCGATGACGATCATCTTCTTGGGGACCTCCTTGAGGGAGAGGGCACCAGTGCTGGTGATGATTCTCTTCTCGTCAATGTTGAGGCCGGGGAAAGGAGTAGCCTCAGAACCAGTGGCAATGAGGATGTTCTTTCCGCGCAGGGTCTGCTCACCACCATCAAGGAGGTTAACCTTGACGGTGTTCTGGTCAACGAGAGCACCAGTACCCTTGACGTAGTCGACGCCGTTCTTCTTGAACAAGAACTCGATACCCTTAGTCAGACCCTCGACGGAAGTGTCCTTGGCCTTCATCATCTGCTCAAGGTTCAGCTTCACATCACCGACCTCGATACCGCGCTTTTTCGTGTCGTGGAGAATCTGGTGGTAGAGGTGGGAGTTGTTGAGCAGGGATTTCGAGGGGATACAGCCGACGTTCAGGCAGGTACCGCCCAGACGGCCACGCTTCTCGATACATGCGGTCTGTGAAAATGTAGTTGTTAGGGAAATCGTCCAGCCGGAACACCTTCGAGGAACGATAGATAGCGCACCTTCAGACCTTCCTGACCGGCCTTGATGGCGGCAACGTAACCAGCGACACCACCACCGATGATGACAAGATCGTGTTCGCCTGTGTTAATTCCAGCCGACGGTTAGCCGGGGGCCACTTTTTTTCCGGAAGCGCAGGCACCGTCTGCGACGGGCCCATCGCAAAGGGCAAAAGTCACGTACCTGACTCAGAGGCATAGCCACGTTGTGTGCGTCCAAAGGAGGCGAGAGAAGGAGCAGCGACGAAGGTAGAGGGAACGGCCTTGGGACCGGCACAGCGGAGGGCAACCCGCGGAGTCGCCCGCGGCAAAAGACTCCGGAACATGGTGAAAAGGAGGCGAAAGGGTAAAGGAAAAAGTCAAAGGATATAGAAAGAACAGCAGACTACCAGGCCTCCCAGTGAACAAGCAACGAAGGGGAGGTGAGGGGACAATTGGAGGTGGGAGGAGACGGGCTCAAGTGGTTAGAGGATGATAGGGAAAAACGATGTTGGGACAAGAAGCTTTCTGGAGGTTCGCCAGCAAAAGCTGGCGGCCCGGTATCGATACTGTATGCCTCGCGTATGTAATCATCCGCCCCCGTGAGCGTCGGGTCAATTCGGCTAACCTTTGCCATGTTGCCGATGTTGTGCTGAACCGTAATTCCGCTACTGTGTCTGGCTCTTCAATCCCCAGAAGTTTCTCCTGCTTCTGATATCTGGGGTAGTTTCCTCGTCGCTTGACATCAAGCGTGCGAAGCCGTGTCGGGGCTACACATGGCGGAATACCGGTCAGTGTTACGGCCCAAAATACCTCATAGATTCGCCCAAAAGGGTAAGGAACCAGACTCTCTCCCGCTTCGGAGTCAGCAGAAGGGAATCAACTTGCAGTCTCGAACATTGCAGAGTTCACGCTCCAGATAACAATCAATTCTTGCATCATGAACTGCTCTCCGGTGCCTCTGAAAAATGAAAATTACCGATACTCGTCAGTCTCCGCGGGTAACTGGCTAAGCCCCTGGCTCCGTAAAGGCTATCGTCGGCATAGCTCGAGCCAGTGCACGGCACTTAAAAGGTAATCCAGGTCTTGGGCTGAAGGCCATTGGACTGAAAGACTGAAACGCGGATTGAATGGATCGCTCGGAACTCATCCAGTCTGGCTCGAAGTGCTCGCGCTGTTTATTGGATAATTTGGATGTGCTTGGACTGATATGACGTGACCTGCGTTAGCAGAGCGCACCTTGCGGAGCATCGACGTCCGTAGCTTCAAATTTGATATGGGGAGTTAGTAAGTCAGCTTAACTTGGTGCTGGTGGTCGACATGTCCACCATAAGACTGCACAGTGTCGGCTCAACTGGAAGTTCCTGTAGTGGCTACAGGCTTGGCAGTTGGGGAGAATGATTAGTTGATAACAGCGGTGCTCCGTCTGAAGAACATTTGCTTCTAGGTCACGACTAAGCGCCTCAAGTTGACTGTGAATGTGTTGTTTTGGTCGTTTGTAGGATCATGGCTTTCCTCGGTGACCACTCATGCTCTCATGCAGATCCGGAATTATATTGTTTCGCCCAAGATTGTTTTATCCGGAACGGAAACCGTTGAGAAACGGCACAGCTCAATCACATTGGCGAGCTTTCTTCTGCAATTACAGCCCACGTTCTGGGAATGGCATTGCTAAATGCACAGAAGCAGAATGCAGTGAGACACTATACACAGCGGCAGGAAAATCAACTGAACATACAACTGTCTATCCAAGGTGGATGATGGGCCCCAACAAGGTTTAGCGGCTCGGAAGCTGCTGGCGCCCATTCCATCCATACTGGAGTGCACTTCTACAACCGGTTGCTCCAATCTTGGCCCTGAGTTGGGTGTATCTGTGGTCTGGTATCAATGAATATTGCTCTGCTACTCCCTGATCTTATTGGGCGACAAAATATGCAATAATTGATGCCAAGCAGTGATAAAGTGCCCCTGGACTACCACTATGGCTGGAAAGTCATACCAGAGACGGGTTCGCCGAATCCCGACAAGTTTTGGTAAGAGCTTTATCTTGATATCTTGCGACGTTTTATGTAAATTTTGCAAAACTCCGTCATTGTTGTGATAGGGGTATTCGAATGCCACATTCCAAACTGGTCCGTTGGTATATACCGACAGCTGAGAACAATCGGGAACCTTCAGATTCTACAAAATACAGCCGACAAAAGCCACAAACACAAAGTTATACTTATGCTTGCCTATGCGAAGGGCAAAAGCGCGGAAGGCCCCTAGTACTATTCCGAGAGGAAGTAGTCTCCTAACATCAGACAAGGGCCGTGCATATGATACTCACGCCATGCTGCACGAGCAGCAGCAGCAGCACAGGATCAACAAAGCAGGACTGACAAGGCTACTTACAAAGCTACTTAATCACACTCTAATGTTAACTTTCGGAGGAGCCTCATCTCACCGGGTTTTTGGGATCATCGATGCGCCAGTAGGAAATCTCAGACAGGCCCCACAGCTCCCTGGCAACCGAGATATATCTGCCTTGAATAAGGGTCAAGCTACTTCTTAATACTGTTCCATGTCATTATTTTATGGTTAGCTTGCCAAACTCGCAACAGTCTGACGGGAATAGAGAGCTCGACGTAGGTGATTGTGTGCGTTGATTAGGCTAATATCCCAAGAAACATAAATCTTGCTAGAGAAGAACCTGGTCGTTTACGAAAAATAATGAGAACTTATCACTTATAGCAATAAGAAGATAGTAGTAACCTGTTAAGAATTCTTTTCAACAGTCAGCCAAATAGCTGGCAGGCTAAAGTGGCACGGGATGTCCCAAAGAGGCGAGTCGGAGTTGGTCCGCCGCGATGTTCTCCGGATTTCCTCAATCTGGCTGAAATCCCCACCCGCTTGGACCAAAATCCCCGGGAAACATCCACACCCCAGACCATCCACTCCATCCACTCCTCCTGATGGCCCAATCCACTATCCCAGCTACTCTGTACCACCCGCTCCAGCTTATCGTTGGCTTCCCGGGCCCCGCCGATACCGCTGCTTTCTTCGAATCTCCAAGTCTGTACATGGAGTGCATTCCCCAGACGCCAACCCCGGATGATGCAATGTTAGCAGCCGAGTTTCGCTTGATTACCACCTTGTTTCCCTACACGACACCTACAGCACATAGTATCATGCCGTCTCAGTTCCACCTCGGAAATTGGTCCATAATCCTTCGGTCTGCAGCTCGGCAGCATAGGCGCTGGCCGAATGACCGATTTGGACTCGTCCGCGTCCCGGTCTGGGGTCGGGTTCCCACCCATTTTCTCCAGACTTTCTCGTGCGGGTCCTGTATTCCAATGGCGTCCTTACTTTGGAGTGGAACCGAGTGTCTGATGGCTGCTTGATGCCCTCCCACCCGGAATGTAACCATATTCGACTCATCGGGCTGGCACCGGTCCTGTGCCGTGGGATTACTCCTCAAAATGGATGATCTTCAGGTGCAAATGGCACCACCGAGCTTATAGTCCTTTCTATTTAATCGTCGCATCGCCCCGCTGTCTCTGTAACCCTGCTTCATAGTTCCACGTCTATCTGTACTGGAGGTGGCTTATCTCTCCCCAAAGTCACGCGGTCTCCGTGCCTGAAGTCACCCAAGTGAAAAGAAAAAGGTATTTTCCGGTCTACACCCAAACAGTCACTACAACCGCGGATTCTAGAGTAGTCACCATGAGTGACCTAATACCATCATGGAATATTGTCCACAAATTGGAGAAGCGTAATCTTCTCATCGCTATCAATTGCATCGCGGCCTTGTCGATCCTGTTCTTCGGGTATGACCAGGGAATGATGTCGGGAGTGAACAACTCCAAAGACTACATCGACCTTATGGGATTCGGATATACCAAGGAAGTGGACGGAGAGCTTACCCCTGTCGTTACAGACAGTCTTTTACAAGGCGGAATTGTGTCTGTCTACTACCTGGGGACTTTGTGTGGTGCGCTGATCGGTGGTTGGATCGGTGACAAGATTGGCAGAATCAGGACTATCGCTTCGGGTGCGGTCTGGGCGATTTTGGGGGCGTCATTGCAATGCGCAGCGCAGAACCACAATTGGATGATTTGCTGTAGGAGACCCATAGAGACTATTCGCACTTCGGACTGACGTATGAACTACAGCCCGTTTTATCAATGGTATTGGCACGGGAATCCTGAATGCTATTGTGCCCGTCTGGGCTACAGAGACAGCCGAACATACCTCTCGTGGACAGTTTATTGCGATCGAATTTACTCTCAACATCTTCGGTGTTGTAGTAGCTTACTGGCTCGAATTGTAAGTATACCTTGCTACTCCCGAGACTTGTCTAATTCGCATAGTGGCTTGTCCTTTATCGATGGCGGCAAATCCGCGTTCCGCTGGCGCTTTCCCATCGCGTTTCAGATTATCTTCTTGCTTCTCTTGTTTTTCACGGTCTGGTTCTTTCCCGAATCACCACGTTGGCTGGTCAAAGTTGGTCGCGAGCAAGAAGCGCGTTACATCCTTGGCCGTCTTCGAGGAAGTACCGGCGACGATGCTGTCCGCGCTGAAGCCGAATTCCGGGATATCCAGAACGTTGCAGAAATGGAACGATCAATGAACCACAGCACTTCATACCTATCAATGCTTTTTGGACACAAGACAGGCAAACTGCATCTTGGACGACGCGTGCAGCTGGTCGTCTGGCTTCAGATCATGCAGGAATGGGTTGGTATCGCGGGTGTCACTGTTTGTATGTCAAACCTCATATCACAGCTGCCGGACTAGTTTAACTTGAGCAGATGCGCCCACCATCTTCAGCATCGCCGGCTTTGACTCGATGAAGAGTCAATGGCTTAGTGGTCTGAATAACGTCTTCTACATGGTGAGTACTATGCCTTCCCACATGCGACGTGGCTAACAACTCAGTTCGCAACGCTCGTATGTGTCTTCACGCTCGATCGTATCGGTCGTCGATGGACCCTATACTGGGGAGCCGTCACTCAAGGAATCGCCATGTTTCTAGCAGGAGGATTCTCCCGCCTAGCCATCAATGCTCGCGACTCGGGCGATGCTGCTCGCGCCAGTTCATTCGGAGCAGCCGCAGCCGCAATGATTTTCATCTTTACTGCTGCGTTCGGAGCCACATGGCTGACAGGTACATACCTAGCTTCTTCTTCAAGAGCCACCCGCTAACCACAAGCTTATAGTACCCTGGGTCTATCCCGCCGAGATCTATCCCCTCGCAGTACGAGCCCGCGGAAACGCCTGGGGCGTAGTCGGGTGGAGTATCGGAAACGGATGGCTGGTAAGTTCATCCTCCTGACTGCGAAGCGAAGCTAACGCAGCCAACTAGACACTTCTATGCCCTGTGATGTTTGGCGCTATTGGCGAGAAAACGCTATATGTTTTCGCGGCTAGTAACGTCATCACAATCCCGATGGTGTGGGCATTCTACCCAGAGAGCAATCAACGTACCTTGGAGGACATGGATCTGCTTTTCGCGTCGGAGAGCCCGTGGGTATGGGATGCGGAGAAGACGTTCAAGCAGCTGAAGGCAGAGAATCCGGGATATGTGGAGGCGACGGCGCGAAAGGGTAGCGTGGTGTTGGAGCATGTGGATGTATGAGCACACCTTGATGACTGTATGTAAAACTCATTAGATACCTACTATCAAGCAGAATTTCTGCAGCAATTGAACAATTTATAATACTTGTACTATATACTGTTCCTTCGAACTACTACATACTGTCCATTGACTGAGTTCGCTACGAGTTTCCTGAATGTGTAACATCTTGGCAGCTTTATCCGGTCACATACCTCCCCGTATGAACTATGTCGTGCTCAATACTCTCAATTCTCTAACATCCTAAACAAACAAACTTCTGAACCTAGCGAAGATACATCACCCTCTCTTTCTCATCATAGCGAGACCCTTCTCCTTCAGGTGGCACCTCAGCAGCAAAAGGGGTCTGTCCAAGATCGAGTTTGAAGAAGACAATCGGCCCGACAACCCCAAACCTCGGACAGACCCAAATTGCGTCATACTGCACACTCATGCGACGATTCCTAAATCCGGGAGGGATCCATAGCAATTTTTGCCCTCATTAAAAGATCCACTCTTCCCCGATCCACAATCTGGATGGTGAGTACATTTCAGCTGTTGGGGAACAATTATCGACTGGGATAAGAATTTGTCCTCGATGGAGATTGAGATACCGTCCATCGCTTGAGAATGACATTTCTTCGAGATATAAGCATATATGGGGCACTGAAGTGTAAAATGTGCAAACCCGTTCTATAGTTTTGCAGATGATGATGACAATGAAGTGACTCTCGATTGCTATACTTGGTCTTGGTGCTATAGCAATCAAATCTGACCAGGCCACCATTGGACCGCCAGGAAGATGTTCTCCTGCCGCACATGGTATGTTCTTGTTTTATCCTGTTGCTAGATTGTACGTAAGTAGAACAAGAGTATAGCGGCTCGAGTTATGCGAGAGGTCTTCAGAATTCTGCAGCGAGTATATAACTATATAATCACCATCTGCAGAATAGATCATCGAGCCAGACCACTGTATATAATCCGAAACAGGGGTACGTTCATTCACTTGCCGAGAAGGATGCCTGCTCAGTTGCCAAACCTCAAGTAAATAATAGCCTGGATAAGTACGGTGATCTTGAATCAACAGGGCAACAGCATCAGACTTCGGTGAGAATCCTATGGCCAGCTTGCTTGGGAGTTCCGTATGCAGAACTACTCTCCTCTTATTTTTCAGGTCCCATATCTCGATGCCGCGTAAGAGGGTCATACTGACAAATTGACTGTCTGGTGAGAACTGAAGACCATAGCTCTTCTCTGGTAGAGGGATAGATAATTCTTCGGACATTCCTGCATCCAATACCCATACGTGCTTTGTACCTGGGACAGCAAACTGCTCACCGTTAGGGGATGATACGATTCTGCTTGCACTTTCAATGTGAAACACTGGATACTGCAGTTCCAAGTCCATACTCAACAAATGGGCTCTACGTGTCTTGTTAGCTATTTTCCTCAGACTCAGTGCGATCAATTTCCTATCAATAGGAGAGGCATTGTGGGATCCATCATCGCGATGGACTTCTGTTGAAGGGCGCTCAGCTTCTGTCGCAAGGCTGCGGTTAGCATCGTCCGTCTTATCTTTGCTGCCAGCGTCCACTATTCCTGCGCCCCATCTATAAAAATGGGCTTTGTTTATGACTTTCTTATAGAGTTTCCTCGTTTTGGTGCGCTTGGGAAAGGCAGACTTAGATAGATACTTAATAGTATAGTTTCTGACACTCCGTATAAGAGGAGACTTATCAGCCGGAAACATTAACCATTTTAGCGAGGATGATGAGTACATGTGTGCATATGCGTAAATACCCAATAGCCCCAAGATTGGGCATAAGTTAAAGGGGTTATTTGTTAGAGTGATAATACTAGTGGCCAAGGCCATGTGTTGGAATCCCACTAGCACCAACCACGTCTTTTACTACATTTTTTGTAAGCGCTTAGATGGCAACGAATCAAGCATACTTCTCGCTGTCTACCTATTTCATGATATATTATGTCTGGCCAAGGTTCCGACAGATTTCTGGAGTTCATTGGTGGCGAAGATAAGTACCTTAGTTAATAGGACCTTCCATATTGCTTTCCCTTGGCTCTTGATACAGTAAATGACAGCTGATGTATCAATATAAATAACCTACGGAGTACACAATCCGTACTAGTGTAATAACTCAACCACTGAACATAATCAGGGTTAGTAGTAAACATGTGACTGCAAAAGATTATTAATCCATCGAAAGGTCGGGAAATTGTAAAAACTCTGGCCAGGCAGAGTAGGCTATTATGACAAAGTAACTTTTGGACGAAAGTCTGTGTTCGCATTAAGATAATATTGAGACTAGCATATAATATATATATTTTAAGAATATCCATATTGCCACAAGAAGACTGGGGTTATAGCTCAGTGGTAGAGCGCTCGCTTTGCATTCTCGCAAGTATGCGAGAGGTCAAGGGTTCGATCCCCTTTGACTCCAATCTTTTTGGAATTTTACTTTTCTTCTTTTTACCCCTTCCGGCGGAATAAATGGCTCGCTAGCAAAGAAAGTTTGGGATTTTGTGTGGTATTTCTTTTTTCTTGTTACTTAGAGGTAGATCTTTTACAGGCAATATGTAGAGTACTTGCAGACCTGGGATCCCATCGAAGTCGAACCGAGTAAGTCCAAGCCTAATTTATACTCTCAACCAGACTTATAATGTTGCTGACTTTACCTCTGCATGTAAGCTCGGCAGAAGGAAAACCGAGCCATCAACCAGATGATTACAGTTTTGCTTTTCTGAACTTATCTCTTGTAGATATGGGACTAAGCCTCACTGTCCAATAGTGTGACTTGGGAAGTCTAATGGTCTCTTTCGAATAATCCTTGACACATCTTCATGTCATCTTTGGTAAGTCCGTTCCTGTTGTCATTTAGATAGCTGCCCTTGCACCTAAGGTAGAACACAAAGTTTGTCACCTAGATAGGCTTCAATATGATTCCAACTGCCTTTTTCATTTTCTTCTTTATATTTCTTCTTCTGTAGGCTCCGAGCTTTCTGGTGGCGATATCAGAACATACCCAAGGACACTGTTGAAGAGCTTCTTCGGCCACTGATTATTCTGTATCCAGTAGTGTATGGAAGAGCCTTTGACAGTCTGTATATATGCTCGAGCCCACTAGAGTAGTATCAGCCCTATTACGCTTCTTCATTATATGAACAGTAATAGGTGACATACCTCCTGATCAGTGGTTACAGGATCCAGAACAGCAGAATTCCGCTGTCGACAAGGCTTTTTGGGCTGTCTTTCTGAATGCTGTGGTGCCTGCGTTTTTCGCTTTTTCTGCATGTTGGCTGATGGTTTGGTTTGTGACTATGATACCCACAATGTCAGTGTCTGATAGTGGTATAGCAAGCTGCTCGCATCATACACACTTCTGTACATTTGTCTAATGGTGAAGAAGGCTTTTGCTTCTCTGTGTTGGCTAGTTTCTTCTGTGCTAATTCACGAATGCGGTCACTTCTTCGACAGTCTTCTTGATGGAGCTGTTTTATGCGAGACATTTTGGCTGTAGAGAAGAGAAGTAATTGAACCGAGATAAAATGTTTTGAGTCGAGTTGCCGTGCAGGATCAATCAAGTAAAGAACGATGAGTATTATTCGATGGCGGCATGGTCGAGAATTAAACGTGGAAGTATATAGTACTATTCAGAAATCGGTGAAAGGCAGAGAAATACAACAGATGTACAAAGATTTTTAGGACATTCGCAGGTTGTTTGATTTTGACCTGGGATGTTCCGGACCATTGATTTTAACAATAATTCCGGTCTTTTAAGGATCAAAGGTAAATGGTATTCTGAAATTGAAAGAAAGGAGATTGCATACAAGATCATCATGTCGCGATAAAGGTGGCGTAGCCTGATTAATATGGTTCAACGAAGAGACAGATACAGACTCAAGCATACTCGAGGTAGGAAATGAAAATAGCCGATAAAAAATGATCGAATTTATCATCTCGAGATTATTACGGGCGAATTCTGGCATCGCCGAGGTCGCCTCATGCTCAGAAAGTTGCTTAAGAAGTGTAGTTGCATTGAACTGATGAACGGCACACCCCGAAACCTTACGGATAATATAGTATTGTCAATCTATACTCTCTGACACTCATCCTTATTTAAGGCCGTGCTTCACCTCTACGATTGGGTTCACCAGCCCACTCCCCATTCACCCTAAGCCTCACCCTTTATACTCATTTCGTTATTCAGCTGCTCCATCTTGCAAGGATATCTCCACAATGCCTTCCTCATCCGAGCTCGCCCTCATCAAAAAGTACCCTCCTACAGCCTACAAGGACCTGCAAGCCCTAATCAAGGCCGTTGCAGATCTCTACAAAAATCTTGAAACAGGAGATGTCAGTCAATACCTGTCTTTCAAAGATGTTTCTTTGAAAGACTTTCGATTTATTGAAAGTCATCGAAAGAAACTTGGCAGCACAGTCCGTTTCACTTACTACCCTGAAATCAGCACCCTCGTACTCAAGGTGGTTACCAATACCACTTTATCTGTGCATGATAATCTCTACTACAATATATCGAGCAAGCTCGCTAGCATGGACATCGATATCGATCAGTTCGTGTCCCTCGGAGCCTCGGAATTTGAAGGACCATGGGGCTCGATCAAAGAAGGGGACGGTGCCTTCAAAAACCCTACTGTTCGATCTGATAAGCGGCACTGGCCTTCCTTTGTGATTGAATCTGCAGGGTCTGATGATTCTATGCCACGTCTGCGGCAGGATGCTGCGTGGTGGATTGCAAACTCCGTTGGGGAGGTTAAGGTTGTCTTGATCATCAATGTGTTGATGAAAACCAAGTGTATTGTGCTTGAGAAATACGGCCCCGAAGATCAAAAGTCTCATAACACTAGGTCTCAGTCCAAGGGAGGCCCTAATGATTACCGGCCTGTGCTTAAATCCAGGACTGCAGTGAATTATGGAGCTGAATCACCCCATGTGGAGGGTGGTTCAGTCAAGCTAAAGTTCAATGATCTTATGGGAAGACCCAAAGGGTCATCTGAAGAGGATGTTGAGATCGGGCATGCTGAGCTGTTGGAGCTTGCTAAATCAGTTTTTGGGAATTGAAACGCTGCATTATGCCCAATATTAGTCATTGGATGGCATTAGCCATATGTTTGAGAATTCAGGATAGCTGATACTATATAGCATTTCAAATAAATCGTGTGACACAGCCCCTATTCAGTTTATTTTCAAATTCTTTGAGACGATCAGTGTAGCCAGGCATCGCCTGATTGTCTCTGCCACCTCTGCCTATGTGGTCTTGACTACTACCTCCTACCACCGTCAACAGCTACCTTGGGATCTGAATATACAATCAGATCCGCCCCTGCATTTTATCTTGAGATACTCTTATGGAAGCAAGAGCATGCTAGAAGATCGTATCCAGGGATCTGGGATTCATTTGATTTATTTCCCGCAGCCGAATTTTGTAGAAGATTGGGCTAGCCGAAGATAGATCTGCTTTGTGATTGACCATCTGGGGTGATGCATGGCTTATTTAAAGCATATGGGTCAAGATACATATGTACTATGCGGCTGGGTTGCAAATGATAATTGCTAATAATTAAGGGCAGTCTGGGTCAAATAGACAGGTCACTTTCTTTACATGCATACGGAGTCCAGAATGTCAATAAGAAACCAGTTTCGTCAGTTTGAGAACATTGATACTTAACAGAGTACCTGATTTCCTGCTCTTTGTTTGACCTAATTAGTATTGTATATCTCTATTGTGCTGAATATGATGCCATTATTTTGCAATCTGATCCGGGCAGCGATTAATATTCCCAAAAACCATACCGTAACATATTAATAAGATAATGAAAAATGTTGACCGATTATATAACAAAAAGAAACTTAGGAAATCCGAACTGGGGGCTATAAGAAGGGGCATATAATAAAGGCCAATGTGTTGTGGGTGGCCATGAGAAAGAGCAGCCTTCCACTACTTATCCTTCCTTCAACCTCTTTGAACCTCTGGAGGCCCTCCGCTCAATGACTGGCTGAAGTTGATTGCCACGCTTCCTTTTTATATCTCTAACCAGTTCCTTGTCCTCTGGAATTGAACTTTTGCCCCCCGAGGATTCTTCGTTCGTTGGGCTCTCGGGTTGAATCAGAGACTGGCGAGATGCAACGTCCGAAGGTATATCCGGTAAACGGTCAATTGCAGAACAGAGTAATGCAAAAAATGTTGGGACCCAATCATGATAGATGGCCATTGAAAATTTGTAAGACCTCCATCTATGCTTGTCTGATATGCTCCATTTTCCAATACGGACACGATAATATGAAGTCGGCTCTGCAGTTTCTACCACGGGAAAATGAGCGAATATTTGCACCTGCTCCTGATCATGACAAAAAGAAAAGCCAAGAATTCTCCGGTGTAATTCATTCTCACACCCTAATAATTTGAAGAGCTCAACGACACCTCTGAGACATCGAGTCAAAGTGTGAGCATTTTGCCGTTCTGCAATCAGGAGACTTCCTGTAGTGGACTTTACTGACTTTACTTCGCAAGCTAAAAATGGAAAAAGCATATCTTCTATGCCCTTGCAAACAGAAGTCTCGTTAGGTCCACCGAGTAATGGCTTAAGCTTGCGAATCTGCTTGCAGGTAAATGCATGACTTGCAAATCCCACAGCATAGTCTGGCCGCGGTGTTGGTAGAGATGACATTGGTTCCTTTGCCCCCGCATTTCGTCGTGTGCTCGGATCTTCATCAAGGGAAGTCGACCAACTCCAAGGCTGATTCATACTCTCAATCAACATCGGAATAGAGTGCAGTCGACCCCTATGGATCTCGAGTACTGGTGATGGAACAATCAATTGACTGATCATTCGAGTGACCCCAGTCTCATTTGCGTCTGATAAGCAGTTCAGGACATAGTCGCAAGCATCGTCCTCGAATGCCGTACCACTGGGAGTTTCACATTCATCTCTTTTAAGAAGATCTTGACATATGTTTTTATCATTCTCTGCAACCCCAACATATTCTCTCATGTAGCTGCCTTTAGACCTAAGGTATGTTTCACAGGCATTTGTAGCATAGGGGTTAGACCTGGCCGCTGTTGTTGGCTCGAGGGTTTGTGTCACTTGCGGAATGGTTGGAGGCCTAGAAGCAAGGTGGGTATTCAATAATTGGGTGTTAGGGGTAGATTGAGGCATTTCTTTTGGCCAAATTCCGTTGTTGATCCAGTAATATACAGCAGCATCCCCTGCAAATTGTGGACTTCCTAGAGGCAACTAATATGATATTAGTTTTGATCCGATCTCCGTTGTGCAAGAGTTACGCAGGCCCACCTGGTCAGTATTAATATCCGGAACTGCTGGGTTCTGCTCTTGACGCCGCTTCTTGGACTGCGGTTCTGAACTCAAGGATGACGGTTCTGGTGATTGTGCCTTCCGCTTAATCTGTGTCTTGGTCGAGGGACGTTTCTATAACAAACATAGAGTCAGTATCTTAAGGCATTCCAAGTGCGCAAGTGCTCACACCATACCCTTTTATGCTGGTCTTTTACCTGCTTAGGTTGCTTCCTTGTACTGGCTACACCCCGTGCTTCCTTTGGACGGCCACGTTTGGCTGTGTTGGCGGTCTTTTGTGGTGCCGTCCTCTTCGATGCTCGTCTTGATGTATTAGCTTGAGGCTTTTGTGTCCGCTTCGAAAGGTTTCGATTTCCTGTGTTGTCTTGTTTCTTCCGTACGCTCGTCTGGATAAGAGCACTTTGCTGACGGCCTTTCTTTTTGGAGATTGAAGCTGGCGTCTTCTCTGTGTTGGCTTCACTTTTCAGTGCCTTTTCAATGATGCGTATGCTCCTCCGACGTCCGTGCTGATCTTGTTCCATTGTAAGCACCTGAAGTGTGATAGATTAATATTTGGATAGGGGGTTCAGGAGAATGTCTCGGGATAAGCGTATGAGAAAAATGTCTTGGTTGCTGTCTAGCCATGAATTCGATGTATCTACAAATACGAAAGGGGCTTACAATAGAGTTTTAAGCCCCCAGGTACCAGGCAGGACATGTTCGCAGTCTACTACCTTAACAAAGACTGCGTCAAACAAAAGGTCTTTTCTTACCCGCCCGTTCGGGTCTTTCATCCTTTATTACCAACACCGTATGTTTTCAAAGCCTGCTAAATAAAGTTATGTATGGTTTCATATCGATACGGTTTTGCCCAAGTAGACAATAATGTAATAAGAGAATGGGAGAATAAAGAAAAGAAAATGTGAGCGGAAAAACCTTAGTGGTGCAAAAACCGCGCGGTGCGAAAAGCAAATAAACAAACAGATATGGCAGACAATAGCAGCCGTCAGACAAATACGATTTCTAGTATCTACTACCAGCAGATCCAATATGAAGCCGATTGGATTATATAATTTATTAAATATATCTGTCTATAAAAAGCTGTATGTATAATAATCATTTCAATTTCCCATGTAATTGCTATTTAGTATTCTTTCTAGTGTATGCTGGATTTAGTACTAATATGGGCTTCCTATTCTTATTACTATGCTTGACAATAAAGGTACCTATCTCCCTTCTTATTGCTTTGCCTCTTTGCTAATTATTTGATAGGCTGGAATGTACCTAGATGGCTTAGGATCCAGAGTTGATAATCATAATGAATATCTCCTTCAACCCTAGTCTTGACTACTCTAGAATTTCTAGAGCTGCTAGTGATTTACATATCCATGCAGCTAGACTTAGTAAGGTATTAGAGCTGGAGTGTATACTATGCAAAGCTATTAAGATTGTTCAGAGTGGGACTTCGGTTGTCATTGATGCATTTGTTAGATAGAAAATAGACAACTGTATTTACCAAAGTATCTACAACATCTCCCCATTATCTATGCCTGCTCATCCTTCGGCAACGCCCGACTACAAAACTCCCTCCACCCCTCAAACGGCAAAAACGGCGGCTCAGGCGCCTCCTCCGGATCCTTCCATTCATTCAGCGGTGGATACGGCGATTTATCAAAAACCAGCTGATAAGCATACGACTGGCGCCACGGACGCACCGGTCCCGCTGTCCGCTCGAAGGCTGTTTTGAACGAGCCTTTTTCCAACCGGACGGAATATCTTTTAGGAAGGAAGGCGGCGTCGATCAGATTTTCTTCGTTTAAGATGTAGTCATCTGTTGGGCCGCGTGTTGTGATGGCGCGTTTTGTGAGTGTTATTTCTAGATTGAAGTGCGCTAGAACTTGAGCCTCTGTTTGAGAGGTAGTGTCGCTATCGCTGACAGAAATCTGGTCGAGTGGCTCAGGGCCAAGTGACTTCCATTCAGTCTCAGCAGCGATCCACGCGTTGAATATATGACGGAGAATTATCTGTGCTTCTTAGCAATAGTTAAGGGTATCTAGATATTAGACAAACTCACTTCGCCCGTGCCGTTCTCGTAAAATATCATTTGGATTTCTTCTTCAGAGTCTAGATTCCATGTTCCACAGAGGATGGAGAGCGCAGTGTCGGTTTTGCACATAGTAGATGGAGGTTGAGGGAAATGGCTGTCTTTCAAAATTTCAGATTATTGTACTTATTATGGAAAATAAACTGGTTCGGGTTATTAGAACTCCACTTATTTATTTAATGAGAAGAGAAGAGAGAGAGAGGGAGAGAGGGAGATGGAGAAAGATGAGATAACATAAGACATGGGAGGGGTTGGTTGCTAATGATTTACAGGGTTCTTAGTCTTCGGACTATAGGTGGGGTCTGACCTGAACCAGTAGACACAGCCCAGCTCAACTAATTTGGCATTATTCCACCCTTTACACTCTTCCATCATTTCTACAAAAGGAAAACCTGTTTCTAAAATGCAGATCAGTAGCTCGCCCTGTGGCTGTAACTGGGGCCGTTTATCAGGGTCCAGCTTTTTCAGTATGAATTAGCCCCCAAGCCGCTAGTTTCAGGGTCTCAGGAACGCTTCAGCCTAGAACGTAAGCCTTCAGGGCTGTCGAGATGGTGGCTCTGACAGGCTGGCCCCCAACCCGCCCAGGTGATCGACCCTGACATGTGAATACTATCTTGTAGCAGTCTCAACCACGCAAATAAGTACAATTCATTAATACCAACATGATGTATGAATTTAACTGACGTTTGTAGAATTTTCTCTAAAACAATATTTGGACATATAACATTATCTTTTTGTTAAATGGCAGGTTAGAAAGACCTACCATCTTACTATTCGCCAAGGCTTCTAACAAATCCGAAAATGTCTTCAGCCATTGAATGTAGTTAGATGGCAGGATGCAGGTATCTCACGTAGGATTCAAATATCCAGGGTCCAAATATTATTTCCCCAGTCGTCGTCAAGGCTGACTTTGATTACTAGTATATTTAGTCAATACTGTAGCTGAGCTATATACCTGAAGGATTGAAGGATTGGCCCCCCTAGCCCTGTGGGATGGATGCAAGCATGCTCTTCCCGTATAGTATAGCCGTGCTAGGAATGATCTACCAGCCAGGAACATTTTGATCCAGAATTGATACTATAGAGCTTGACACAGATATAAGATGGCGAAGATTTCTCACAGATATCTCTATCATCGCTCACAATATAACCATTCGCAATCAACTTACAAGTCCAAGAGATCTATTCTATCCCCAAATCTCCAAAATGCACTTCTCAGGCTTTACAAGCTTCCTTGTTGCGACATTGGCTGCCTGCAGCGTAGCCTCCCCTGTTGACGTGGGCAAACGTGGAGAAATCACCGTTGGCTTCCGCCGTGCTGATAAGGTAGACCTTTTCTTGATGTCTCACCAGCCATTATGGTTAGAGCTAATAGGTCCCCTTTGCATTAGACCCAAGCCGAAAAATACAACAAAGAGGGCCTCTACTTTGACCACGCTCATGTAATGTGGGGTGCCCAGATTGGTAAAGGAGTGTACACCTCTCCTTCCCGTGATGAGTATGAGGCGCTGGCTGCTCCTGATGCCTGGTATGTAATACACAATAACACATATCCTATGATTATCATGCTCATATGATTCCTAGGTACTGCGTCATCAAAGCAGACCAAGCAGCCTTCGACAAAATCCCCAAAGTCTGGATCCCCGAAAAGAACCAACACAACCAGAGAATGTGGAACCAGAAAGACGAGAAGCGAATCGACGAATACATCGAAAGCCTTCACGAGAATCCATCGAGCTCTCTCCGTTTCTCGATCATGCCTCATGGTAGAGATCGCAGCCGTCAGCAAATGCTGATTGTCCCGGATCTTGCTGATAAGAAGCATTTCACCATCCACTGCTATGAGAAGAAGGAGGATGTTAAGGAGGGGCCTGTTCATTACGATAGCTGGCATCCTAAGGGTGAGAAGGGGAACTAGGCTGGTAATGATTGTGGCTGGGTGTTTTGTATGCTTGATCTAGTGTTCCGAGTGTCTTCTGTGGTTGTCTGTTGTTAAATGGTCCCCAAACAGACCCCATCATTTCCCTCAAAATGTCAAGGTGTGCTTTTTGTACTTTCATACCAAGAAAAAAAAATATATCTTTGGATGGTTGCCCATAACATGTGAGGATATCAGTAAAATGTCCTTCAAAATCTTGCAATACTGTAGAAAGAATGTCAACGTGTTATTCAGCAGGCCAAAACGATGGACGGTAGGAGAGATAGGGACTGCTGCATTTCGCCTCGGGCTGAGGTTCGACGGCCATCTAACGGATCTTAATATTACCTCTAATCTAGTAGTAAGGAGTTATGCTCGATGATCTTCAAGATGTAGGATGATGTTGTATTCAATACAAAGTTATCGAACGGGAGACAAACGGATGATGTAGATTCTATTCCTGACTAGGAAAGTGCGGCTCGTCTGCAGCCTTTCTATACTGTATGCTTCATGGAGGATTAGCGAGAACACCAGTCCCCAATATCCGGCAAGCTCCTAGCACAATCTAAATACACATACACTAATAACGCAGCGGCCACAACCCCGAGTTATTCAACCGACGAACATCCCACATCATCAACCCAATCATCCTATTCCCTGGAATATGCCAACTATGAGGTAACTCGAGCCCCGACTTCTTGGGATCAAGCTTATTCTGCACCGCATATTCCTTTAGCCTCTCAACGAAAGGATCAATAACACCACGCAAACAACCAGGCTGGGGCGGAGGACTCCGAGTCGGAAACGCAAATTCAAGCCGAGATGCATCAGGCAACTCAGTAACAAGCGGATACCACTTCTTCCAATTCGCCCATTCTCTCCACCCATTCAGATTTAGATTATGATTCCCATTGACAAGGTTCAAAAGACACTGGGACACAGTCTGAATCTCAACGCGAGCAACCCCTGGAAGCAAATCCCAGGTAGCAACCTCGGGCTGATACTGGCCGCGGACGCACACAATATGGCCATCCACGGGGAGGATGTCTCCCTTATGCAGCACAGAATATAGTTGCAAATGCCACAAGGCGCGATAGACGCGATATTCCTCTTCCCATGAGGGTTGACTCAGATCCAGTTCCTTCATTGCATGAAACCTCCCGTTCCAGTAAAAGTGGGCTTGGAGCAGGCCCCCGAGGAACGTCAAGCACGCACAGGCTAATCGTTGGATATTGGCGGCGATGTGTACCATTTCCCATAACACGACTCGGGATATAGAAGTGGGAGGCTTATGGCGGGCGAGGAATTCTGTTAGGCTGCGTCGTTCGGGCTCTCCTTCGTTTAGACCACTTCTTCGGAGAGAGGAATGTACTTCACTGAAGGACTCCTGGAGTTCTTCTGGTGTTAACTGTTTTAGTTCGGTGACTCTCCAGAAGTGACGGTATAGATGGCCCTTTGTTATAGGGTTACCCTTTAGAATGATGTCGACTATGTGCGTTGCTGCGGGCTCTGCCCTTTCGTTGGGATTCTTGCCTGGTTCGAAGATCTCCCGGATACGTGGGGACGCTTCGATGAGGTTCTCCAGTGTCACCCAGTCGGGAATTTGTCGGATGATATTGCATAACACGATGTAGGGAACCCTTTTGATGCTAAAGGGGTCCATCGTGATAGGTTGGTCTTGCGTAGGTATTCTAGGAGCAGGTAAAGCCCTTGACCGAGGTAGTCGAGGATTATTCGCCTGTGTTTCGCTCTCTTTCCCTTTGGATACGTAGGGATTACAACGCATTTATATAACTTCATTTGAACTGATTGGTCTACAAAGAAGCTCCAATCCTGCCTTTAGATGAGGCAGATAAGCTCAAGCGGATATTATTGTAGAATGTAAGGTTCTGCAAGTACCAGATAGGAACTAGGTAGCCTGATGGCAGTTCCCAATTAACCCTGTATGTGTGATTTTTACTAGACGTAGATATCTTCTGACCTTTATTTGTGTTTCCTACATAGTAGAAGAAGAAGAAGCTGGCAACTTTCGTCAAGGGAGTTAGCTGAGTACGTAGATGATGCAAAGTTTCACTCTACATGATCTACTGTATTTTGGGGCGTAGCTTTCCTGATCAGAAGAGATATACGGTAAGAAAACGGACAGTGCTCTATCAACGCAGTGTCTGTTTGTTATCAATAAGTTATTATTATACTCAGAGCAGTTCAGCCACATACCCATCTTGTAGTTACTTGTACATGGCCAAAATTGAAAGTGAATTTCCTTTCATAGAAAGAAAGGAATCAAAAAAGGGGGGTAGGTACCCATGTCCTTCAAGTGAAGGTGGTGGTAGAAAAAACATGGAGTCAAAGGGGATCGAACCCTTGACCTCTCGCAGTTTCGCTGTAGGTATGCAAAGCGAGCGCTCTACCACTGAGCTATAACCCCAGTTCGCTGATAATTTGATTACATAATGTCTGATATACCACCACCGTTTTATACAGGAAGAAAGTATCTATGTTAGGTAGACTACCTATTATCGCCTGGCCGTTCCTAAATATGTAGTGACATACCTATATTGAAAGTTAAATAGTCCACATTTCTATGTATATGTGTAGCCAGGATAGAGAACAAACTGGTTTCTCTAGCTATACAGTTAGTCTTGAAGTGATCAACTATGTAGCATATGAGGCAGACATATCTTTCCTAAGCACGATTTGGTACATAGTACTCGTACAAGTTCCCATTTCTGCCACATAATAGTAGGATAGCCTTCTTGTTCCTGAACCTTATTCAGAATATTGTAATAGACTCTGGTGGCTATATCCGGTCCAGCTGTCTGAGCGTAGTAAGATCTAGTTACTGCTTACCCCCGGGTATGACCAATGTCCCCTTTTAGCTTAGCATCATCCGTCGCAATGCACGTGTTCGATCTAGCTGTCTGGTGTTTTATCCAAGCTTGAAAATACGGGAGATTACTATAGGTTCAGCCTATATATGACGGGATATCCCGTGTATTTGGTTGAGAAGCCGAAGGCACTTCCCGCTATAAAACATTAGTACCAACTTATCAAATTGGCTGCTGAGAGCCCATGACCGGGACTTTACGACAACAGGAACGTATGCGAAAAGGACTACTTTCATAACCAACGCTTCATTAAAATATTAATATGACTGAACATATAATCCAAAATCACTTTGGCAATACTCATAGGAACATCCCGTCACAATGGATCCTAAAACCCACTTCCCAACAATGAACTGCTCACAATCCCAGGTCTCAAAGGACCATCTTCACTTTCTCAATTCCTCTGAGCGCTTTTTCTAAGTGCAAGACCGCTTTTCATCATCCTTATCACCAACCCAGAGAAGGTATGTCTCGGACGAGTTACTCTCAACGACATCCTGCTGCCCATAACTCCCATTCAAACCCAGACCACCCTCTTCCTCGTCAAGCTCTGCCTCAAGAAGAGAATGAACTGCACCCATGAGCAACGCAAAGTTGGTCTCCTGGAATGGGCGTTTATCACGCCATGGATATGGGTGGTCCGCTATGTGAGATGCCAGTGGTTTGAAGACGGGCTCGTCGAGGAAGGCGAGGGCGTCGGTTGGTGCTGAATCTGGAGTCTGCACTGATTCAGGAGTGCTAATAATGTGGATGGGATGCGCTAATAGAGTCCTGAAATATAACATGACTGTAGTGGATAGCAGGAGGAGAGTGAATGATAGGTTGCGGAAATCTATGGTGGTGGATTGGATGAGCTTTGAGACCAGCATTGTGGTAGATGTGGTAGATGTGGTAGATGTGGTAGATGTGGTAGATGTGGTAGATGTGGTAGATGTGGTAGATGTGGTAGATGTGGTAGATGAAGAGGGATGGGTAGGTGGGTGGGTGGGAGAATGAGGATGAAGAAGGTGAAATGTCTGAGTTGAAAGGTAGAGGTATCTTTATAGCTGGGTTTTGAATTGTTAAGTTGTATTCTACTAACCCTTCTCAGAAGCGGAGTCGATGGGCTTTGAAGGCGGCATGTACCGTGGTAATTCCGGCAATGCCAAATTCGATGTATATAGAATGCAGATATGTGGATTTTGTTGCTTTCGGTATATTGTACAAAACATAACCTTGCATGTACTGCTGCAAAAATCCAACATACCGGAGACCTTTGCGCAGGGACCTGAATTATAAGGATGAAATAAAACTTTCCAACACCAGACGGGAATATACATTTATTAAACTTCACCAGCCAAGGGTATCATAATCAGCTGCTCGAGACGGTACTTTTGTTCAGCAAAGTTAGGAAGTTTCCTGTTCATTCAGGTACTTTCGACAGGCATCCTTCAGCCTATTGATCCGCCGCTGCGTGTGCACAAATACCTCCCGATACATGTCAAGACTCTCCTGCACAACCTGCTGTCGTGTCCGCCTACCGGCGCAAATTTCCCGCATTCGCAGCTCCATCTCCTTCCGAAGGAAGGGTTTGCTCAGAGAAGGGCTATCCGGTATACCGGCAAAGACATTATCATATCCTTCCACCAGAGCAATGCCCAGTCGGGTGGGGATCAGTTCTTTAACTGCGTTTCGACCACTCCCACGCGAATGGACGGCAACGTATTGTCGTTCCTTGATTTTTGCAATGTGCTCCGCCATGGTAGCATCGGTACCGATTCCATTGGCGTCCATTAGGCCAATCAGTTCCGGTTCGGTGAGGTAGTTCGGAGGTGTGGTTTTGCCATCGAAAATCTTGGCTTCAGTGGGTTCAAACATTTCACCCATCTGAAAGTTTGGCAGTTGCTGACTACTCTCCCACTTGTCGTAGACGTAGACATCTAGATAATTCCGTTCGAGAACTAAGAGGCCCTTGGCGTGGAAGAACTCGTCTCCGTATTGGATCTCAACTTCCGTCGACTGACCCTTGGCATCCTCGGAGCAGCAGGCAAGGAAGCGACGGACGACGAACTCGTAGACTTTCTTCTCGTCAGCCGTAAGAGCCGTGGGTGCGACCCAACAAATGGGGTGTATAGGTGGGTGAGCTTGATCGTTGTGTCGACCTGATCGTGGAGTCTTGAATGCGCCGTCCAGCAGACTTCAGATGTTAGCAGTGCAGAAAGGCATGTCTGAAGGATGCTTACTTTCGAGCATATTGACCCCAGTTTCCGTCCGGTAGCTGCTTCTCAACGAGCTTTTTCAAGTCAATGCCCTTATCAAACTGGTCTGTTTCGGTACGTGGGTAACTGATGAAACCCTTCGTGTATAGGGCTTCCGCGACCTACACTGTGTGAGCCATTGCTCGAACATATGACATATGACACGGCTTACCTTCATGATTGTCTGACTGTCCATGCGTAGATATCTACTTCCCATCATCTGAAGGTCCACTGTTGTCAAAGGTAGAGGTCTCCATTTGCTGGTAGGCTTTTGGGTGACCTTGGTGACTTTGGCTTTCTTTGCCATGAGACAACGCTCGAGCATCACCGTCACCGCAGCCCTGTCAAAAAGATGAACACGTTTCCAGAGAAAATTGACCTTTATATCATCCCGGGTATGCATAACTTTGATTCCCCAAAACGTCTCAGGCTTGAAATTCTTGACGCGAAGATAACGATCAACTACAAACCCGAGTGTCGGGAATTGACAGGATCCTGGTCGGTAGTTAGAAATGCTCGTACAAAGAAGTATAGAACCATACCATAGCTTATGATAGTATCTTGAAGCGCCGCAGAAAGAGGTTTCAACTGAAGCGTTTGCAGACGAGTGAATGCCGCACCGATCCGGAGATCCAGTTCGATTCTGGCCGCAACAGCGTTTGCTTGGAGGTCATCAAGTTCGATCAGTGATCGAGCAGCATGTAGCACATGGCTTTTACCCAGAGATTAGCACTGCAATTCAGCTGAAAAGGAGGTGGTCTCACGCTTTTTCTGTATTGCTGAACCTTGCCCGTTTGATGACGATGCGAGCGTTTCCTTCCTTTGCCTGCTTGCGGATTTCCGTTCCTATATGCTCACCTTCTCGATCACAGTCTGTCCATATAAAGAGAGCCTTGCATCTCCGGGCCTGTTCCTGGATGTTCTTCGCAATAGCTACTTTATCCTGCCGCTAGGTATTAGCACGGGGTTTATATCAGACCTTCGCGGAGATGCGCAGATATACATACGTCAGCCACAGACTCGTGTACTGGAGCTTCGAAGAGGGCTGATGGGGGACAGGACAGCCAAGTTCTATATTGGCGTTCAAAATCTAGACCAGTCAAGTGTCCAATGACGCTGGTCATGGTCACAGAGCAAGTGCCCCAAGGGCCACCAAAATTGAAATCGAATACATAGTTTTTCACATATTGATTCCCTCGGATGGCTATCTACAGTACAGCTACTTCAGCAACCGTAACCCTCAGGAGGTATTGGCAAGTCCCGGCACCGAGCCACTTACTGTTTGAAAGGAGCCGCCGGACAAGTGCTGGGCCACGGCTTTAGCAATGGCCGGCTTTTCTGCCACGCATAACACCCTTTGCGTTGTCATGGCAATTGCCTGAGTTGATCAGGAAGGCTAAGGTGTGCCCATGACCGATGCTCCTTTTCAGAGCGCCAACCGAAACAAAGAGTGTTGACCTTTATGGCGAAGTGGACAAACTCACATACTAATCATCTACTTTGTCGCTGTAGACGCGAAAAAGACGCGAGTCACGGGTGTGGTAGGATGCCTTTATGCCTGAAAATCTGTTTACTGCCTGAGGCTCAAATAGTGGCCCGAGCTCCCCATCATGGCCGGATTGGGACAAGTTTCAGGCCTGAATCAGGCATCCGCGGGCGGTTGCTCGGTCACGCTTCCCGGCCAGCTTGTTGTGGTAATTGTTTTGACTCCATCCACAACCCGGCCTTATCTTGCTTCCACTCACATGCGAGAAGCTTCCCTGTCACCCCAGCAGCAACCAGCTAACCAAAATCCTTTCCTTCAGTGCATCTGACCAAGATGACGCTACCCCTCCCTGACGTCAAGTCTGTCGTGGACTGTGCTTCCTTCAGCCACACTGTCCTACCCTTCTTGTCGCAAATCACGGCGCTTCCCGAGCGACTGCAGCTTGCAGCCGCAGCCAAGGATGTGAACATCCTCAAGGACATTTACCTCTCCACGAATCCCTTCATCTCGGCCCTCTTCTTGAGTCTAGCTCTATCAGTTCTGTTTGTCATCGCTTCGGAGATAAACAGGAACTACTCCCAAGTTGATCGGCTCTGGAGTATCCTGCCGTCCATCTATAATGTGCACTTTGCTCTTTGGGCCCGCTTGTCGGGCCTCCAGACTCAGAGCTTGGATACTATCGCGGCTATCACCTTGATTTGGAGTGTGAGTTACCATGATTGTCTGTACATTATATCCACCCCTGCTAACCTGCCCAGGCCCGCTTGACGTTCAACTACTGGCGTCGTGGTGGCTACTCAATCGGCTCGGAAGACTACCGTTGGCAGATCGTACGCTCCAAGGTCAACAACCGCTTTGTCTTCTTCATTTTCAACATCGTCTTCATCAGCCTGACGCAATCCTTGCTCCTGCTTTTGATCACCGCCCCGACCTACAACTTCCTCCTTCTCTCGCGTCTGTCGGACAAGTCCTTCGAGGTTCCGGACCTTGTCTTCTCCCGGGTGGCCTTCTTCTTCATTATCATCGAGTACTTCGCCGATCAGCAGCAATGGAACTTCCAGACTGCCAAGCACAACTACCAGCAGACTGCCCGCATCCCTGACCAGTACAAGGGCCAGTATGAGCCCGAGGATCTGGAGCGCGGATTCGTCGTCAGTGGTCTCTGGTCCCTGTCTCGTCACCCGAACTTCCTCTGTGAACAGGCCATCTGGCTTACTCTGTATCTCTGGAACTGCTACCGCACCGAATCCTACGTCCAGTGGACCGGCATTGGTGTCTTGGGCCTTCTGCTCATCTTCCAGGGTAGCGTTCGTCTCACCGAATCGATCAGCGCCGGCAAGTACCCTGAGTACAAGGAATACCAGGCTCGCGTGGGACGCTTCATTCCCCGTTTCTCGGTCAAGCCCAAGTACAAGAGCAGCAAGAAGAAGGCTCGCAAGGCTGTCACTGAGCAGCCCGAGAGCGAGCAGACTCACGAGGCGGACAAGAAGAGCCAGTGATTTTGGGGGATACTTGATGTTCCGCTCACATTGATCTGCCTTTTTTGGGTTCTGGGTGTACGTCATCTTCATTGGTTGCGGTTCCATTTGATATTCTTGAGTTATTTTGGAGTACATAATTTTAGGGTGTTGGATCTTTTGGAAAACATATATTATTCTATTGTTTGCATATATATATTCTGTCATGTTCGATTTTTGATATCCTTGTCGAATTTATGAAAAGTTTCATCACTGAAGAAGCACGCGGCGATTGGGCTGGCCCCTTGTGCTTTGAAATTGGCAGCACGCCTTCTAGTTTCTAAATTGCAAGACAAATGTTGTATTGCAGACATAAATCAGTCCTATCCACTAGTATTGGAACTCCGCCCCTCACAACGGCCTACGATGTCACTTGAGTCATAGTAGATTATAATCGAACTCGCCTACCATCTATATTTGAAAACCAATATATAATAGCTACCTACTATACAGTACAATACAATACACCGAACACTTTCTTCAAGAAAGCGAACGAGAGGAAAAAAGGGAGAAGCCAGGCGGTGATGATAGAGATATCAAGTGACGGATGGTTGACCGCTGGGATAGGATGTCCAAGAGGGATAGGAAAAGGAGTAGAGAAGTGGGGGAGGTAACTCCGGAGCAAAGTACCAAGCACGCAGGAAACACAGAAAAAGGGTCATAGTCCTAATATTTATGGCGACAACTTGGAAGGTAACAAACAGCAGACGGATGGGATGCGAAAACAGAGGGAAATTGTTAGAAAGGAGATGCTCCGAGTTGACACGCACACACGAAAGATAAATAAGTACAAAACCCAAGCGAGGAAACGAGGAAGTAAAAAAGGACAACGATATATGATATGAATAAGAAGACAAGCATGCAAAACCCCCCGCCTCGCCGCACCTTTCGTCAGCCGTGAGTGATGATGTTCTTGGGAGAGAAGAATAGTATTCGAGGATTTCCAATGAGGATTTGCATCATCTATGGGGGAATAGGGGTAGAGTCGCGGCCGTCTTTGCCTTCAGTGGATTCCGTGGGCTCAGGGGGAGCGATGGTGGCGCCGCCGCGGCCGTCGAAGTACTTGGCGAACTCGTTGGATTCAGGCCACTCCCTAGGGCCCAGAAGACGGATCATGTCGTCGCGGCTGAGGACTTCCTTGGAGAGGAGTTCCTCGGCCACGATGCCGACTTCCTTCTTCTTCTTGGTCAGGAGGTCGCGGCACTGCTCGTGGGCTTGATCGATGATGCGGCGGACTTCAGCGTCGATATCCCGAGCTGTTTCCTCAGAGAAAGGCTTGTGCATCTGGCTCTTCGGGTCCTCCTCGTAGTAGATGTAGCGTAGCTTTGATGACATACCGAACTTCGTCACCATGGCGGTGGCCATCTGGGTGACCTTGTTGAAGTCGTCGCTGGCTCCGCTAGTCACTGTGTCGAAGTGCAGTTCCTCGCTGACACGTCCTCCCAGAGTCATGGCCATACGGTCCATGAGCTGATTTCCGTTCATCAGGTAGGTGTCGCCGTTAGCGGGCAGATATTGGGCATAACCCAGAGCGCCTTGGCCACGGGGAATGATGGAAACCTTGAGAAGAGGATCAGCCCAGCGGAAGTACCATCCACAAATGGCATGTCCGGCCTCGTGGTAGGCCACAACGCGCTTTTCCTCGGGAGAAAGAACAAGAGACTTCTTCTCCAAGCCACCGATGACACGTTCAATGGCCTGCTCGAAGTGCTTCATGGTGACATGATCGGCGTTTTCACGGGCCGCTGTACAGAAGCTGGTTAGTATAGAACTGATGGAATAGGGAAGTTATTTCAGGAAATTGGTGTACTTACCAACCAAAGCGGCTTCGTTGACGCAGTTTGCAATATCAGCACCAGCAAAACCGGGAGTCAAAGCCGAAAGTCTTCCTTGCAGGTATTCCATGTCCTCCTTCGTCACGATCTTCTTCAGGTGAACGCCAAAGATCTGCTTACGACCATCCATGGTAGGCCGGTCGATAGAGATGTGCCGATCAAATCGTCCAGGACGCATCAGAGCCTGATCGAGAACGTCGGGCCTGTTCGTACCAGCCAACACCACCACTTGCTCGGAAGTGTTGAAACCGTCCATTTCGGTCAAAATCTGGTTGAGAGTGCTCTCACGCTCATCGTTGCCACCGCCGTAGTTCGACTTCGCTCTTGATTTACCGATAGCATCAATTTCATCGATGAAGATAATGCAGGGCGTCGACTTCCGCGCGTTGGCAAACAGATCACGAACTCGGGAAGGACCGACACCGACGAACATCTCGACAAACTCTGAACCACTGACACTGAAGAAGGGCACGCCGGATTCACCAGCCGTGGCCTTGGCAAGTAACGTCTTACCGGTACCCGGAGGACCCGAGAGGATCGCACCACGGGGAATCTTAGCACCAAGCTTCTGGAAGCGTTCCGGGTTCTTCAGGAAGCTGACGAATTCCATGATTTCCACCTTGGCCTCGTCCATACCGGCCACGTCAGAGAACTTGATCTTAATGTCGGTCTCTTGGTTGAAACGTTTGGCACGGCTCTTGCCAATGCCGAAGATGCCACCTTGACCACCTCCGCTACCTGCACGCCTCGACAGGAAATACACACCCGCCAAGAGAAGAACCGTGGGACCGAAGCTTATGAGTGTCGCAGCCCAAGGGACTTCACCCTGGTAGTTGACAGGAATGCGTTCAGCACTAGGGACACCAAGTTCCTGCTGGGCCTCCTCCAATTTTCGCTCAAAGCCGTCGACGGATCCGATGGTGAAGTAGTAGTAGAATCCAGGGTGAGCAGCAGGTGAATCGGGGTAGACTTGAGCCACCGCATCACGGTGAAGTTCGACCCGAACCCGGGTGTTGTTGATGACGGTCAGCCTCTCAACCAAGCCCCTGTCGAGGAAGTTTGCCCTGAACTCCTGCCATGTGATATCGCTGCTGTTCTCGCTCGGGTAGAAACTGCGGTAGATATAGTAACTGACAATCAAGCCCGCCCAGAAATATATGTTGTCGAGCTTGAAAACAACCATGTCTTTAGGGTCCGGCGGATTCTTGCCGAATGGGTTCTGGTCCTTCTGCTTCTTGTCTTGTCCTTGGTCCTTCTTCCCTTCCCGATCCTTTTCTCCCTCTTTCCCTGTTTGCTTTCCTTCCTCTGCATGTTTCTTCTCCAGTTCCTCAATTTCCTTCATCATTCGCTCGCTTTCGATCCGCGCTACGCCACGAGCGATCTCATCGAGGTAAGAGGCCAGGTCGCGCATCAAACGCATATATGTCATGAGGGAGGCAGGACGCCCGGTGGCGATATGATTATCGATGAATTCCTTCACCGGCGGAGGTAATCCGTTCCTCTCAACGTGCAGTTTCACGTCGTCGAGCATCTCATGTTGACTCCGTGGTGACCGTTCTTTCAAATGTGCGATGAATTCGTCTAAATGTTTCTGTTGTTCCTTGGTGAGCACATTCATCTCTTCCGGCTTCTTCGGGTCTCCGCCGTTATTCCCGGGCCCGGTTGATGAGCCCGTGTTCTTGTTGTTGCCATTGTCGTTCGGGGGGTTCGGTCCACCAGAGGGCTGGGTAGCGAAGGTCCTGGCTCGGTGTGCGATAATCAGGGCTGACAGTCTTGACTGCGGAGCGTGTGCAGAGAGCGGCCTTGTGCGGTAAAGGCAGTCTGCGGCTCTCCTCGAATATCGAGCAAGGTTGCCAGGCCGCCGGAGCAGAGAGGCCATGGTCGAGGATGATGAGCCCGGAGGCTAAGGTAAAGGCGCGGCGGAGTTCTGAAAATTCAATGGCACCTCGAGGCTGATGCGGCCATAGAGGCTCTTCTTGAAACGGAGGTGGCGGGGAAGGTGGAAAGCTCTTGGGGGAGCTGAGGTCGCCTGTGAAGTTCGCTCACGCGCTTTCCCGCCTTCTTGCGTTTTTCGTCCTTCCGTTCGCCGGCTGACTCATCTGCCCACCGCCGCCGCCGGCCAGAACCCAAAGGAAGTCGGTGGACCTCAAACCCATCAGTAATCCTGATTGTGCTTGGAAGAGTGCACAATTAGGTCGAGATCTTATGCTGATGTCACTGTTCAACTAAATCTGTTTGTGGTTTATGGCATGGAAAGGGTAGATGCTGGAAGCGGGTGGTGGTGATGACGGTAGCAGCACCTGGTGGGGAATGCTGAGATTACGCACTAGATAGCCTACTAAAGTAGTGATGCCATAGGAGGGTCCTAATGCAAGTTACTCTTTACAATTAGAGTGCTCTTGCTAGGATTGTATAGGAGTAAAGCACTTGATTATGATCATGTGGTCCCAGAAGACCTAAAGCACAATCCTCCGGTCCACTAGCACTTCATACAACGGGTGATTCTATAGAGCACGTCTTTGTATGATTAAGTCAATATACCTGCAAAGAAAGCAATAATTTGGACATGAAAGTTCATCCCAGAGACCACTGGATACTTTTTGGATAGGAAAAGCTTGAAACAACAGAACAAACCCAACTCCATCATAACCTCAAGGTATCGAACCCGACTACATAGCCGGAGAGAAAGAAACGTAAGAAACGCATAGCCCTTTAGTCGACATCCATCTCCTCCTGAGTAGTTCCATCCACCAACATTCTGGTCTTCTTCTTCTGTCTGAGACGCTCCTCTCCGTGCAGTCTGCTTGCCTTGGAAGTCTCGGCCACCAACGGCTGTCCCTCTTCCCGCTCGCGGAGCTCCTTGCGAATGAGGTGCTCGCCCTCCATAACCACCTTGCGATCCGCCTCGCGCTTGCGGTCCCGCGCAAGCTTGCCTGCCAAACGACGCTTCGTGAACACACGCTCCCTGCGCTGCCGGATCTCCTCCACTCTCTCCATCGCCTTGATAGTCGCCGCAACCAGGTTTCTGTCGTACTTGACGGGGACGTTTCTCTTCTTGGCGAACTGGGACAGCACCAGCGACGAGTCGACAATCATCTCCTTGCCCTTGGCAGCGCGACCGGCCTTGGTCCACTTCACACGTCTCGGTTGCCGCTTAGCCTTGAAGTTCTGATGGGTGGTAAAAGTTAGCTTAAACCTGATAAGACTGGGCGGGGCTGGGGGACTTATCATTTGCTTCTGCAAAACCGGAATGCCTTGGCATCATTTCTAACAAACTGAATACCCTTGCTAGGGTAAACAGGCCTAGAGCAAAAGTGGCACGTTTCAACTCTGTCAGGTAGGTCAGCCGCAAGTTCTTTACCGCTGGTCAAATTTCTCCCGGGATGAGCAGAGGCAAAACGCCGGGGCACGCACCTCATGTTGGGCTAGTTGTTCTGGGGTATGTGAGCCCAAAAGCGGCGATTAGATGAAGTTAAAGGAAAACTCCGAAAAATGAGGTAAGAAGCCGCAAACAACTCCTCGATCCCACCGTCGTGTAAAGAAGATCTCCGATGTTCAGGACAGGAACCGCATCAAAAATTGAAGCGTGGAGCAACCGGCGCTAAACCATAACGGGTAATGCGGCGCCGCTCCGATTTTTTATCTGGACTTCCGCCTCTCCCCCAACGTCACTCCTTGGATATCCCTCCTGCTGTGTCCTACGACCCTCACTCCGTCAACTTCTGAATTAGTCACTCGACTGTTTCAAGATGTCTACTATTGCTATCGGTCTCGGTGTCGCTACTGCGGCCTTCTTGGTAAGTCCGACTTGGGAACTGGACTGTATCTGCATGATGGATGACAGGAGGCTAATACGTACTCCCATCTGCTAGGGTCGCGCCGGTCTTCTTGCCTACCGTCGCTCCAAGGGAGGTGTGAATGCCATGGGCAAGGCCTTTTACAAGGGGTTAGTCATGATTTGTTATGTTATGATTTACCGGCATCGATCACTAACTTGTATACAGTGGTTTCGAGCCGCGCATGAACCGCCGTGAAGCTGCCTTGATTCTCGAGCTTCCGTACGTTTCAACCCTTCAGACACGCTATATTCTTCGACTTTTAACCAAATCTATAGGGAGCGTACCCTTAACAAGGACAAGGTCCGCAAGAAGCACCGCCAGCTCATGCTTCTCAACCACCCCGATCGTGGCGGCAGCCCGTACCTGGCGACCAAGATCAACGAGGCCAAGGAGTTCCTCGACAAACATACTTAAGGCTCTTCCAACGCGGATCCTCCACTAACGACTGTTCGGGGCGTTGTTGGATTGGGAGAGGAAATACGAACATGCTAGGGATGCTTTAGGTATCTTCTATTGTACAAGAGAGATTCTTCTTAGGGTGAGCATAGCGAGGCGTTGGTGGGATTTCTTTTTTCGAAGACGAAAGATATGTCTTTGTGCTCCTTGCGTGGGGCTTTGTACTATTGTCTACTATATCCTGATGAGATCGCCACTCCTATATATATAACTATCTATTCGGTATTATGTCTGTCAAGATACCTTCTGCTTTCTTTCTTCAAGCATAAGGGTCTGTGAAGTATGTCTGGAATATGCGTGTCTGGCAGAGATTGGTATCCAGTCACTGTCATTATTTTGGATATAACGGCAAATATGATCATCGATCTCTCATCAGTTCCTTGTCACTTATATCATGATTGTATGACATTTTCAGGAGGGTAGAACCGTCACAGGTCCTTACTTTATCAGGTGCATGAACGCAGACGGGGATTGACAGTCCAAGCACTCACATGCCCATGCGCTAGACAACCAGTATCCACGTTTCATCAGGCTACTACTACTGCTTAAGGGTCCAATGTTCACCCCTGAAATAGCTAGTTAGACACACGTCACTCAAGTTGGCAGCCTAAAACGCCCCCGATCTGAAGCGGGAAGAGTTGAGCCAGATGGACGGCACTAGATAGAACCCCACCGATAGAGAAAGAAACATGGAGCAGGGGGTTTAAACTGCCGCCGGACCATGGCAAAGTCCGAAAGACCGATGGACGCCAGGAAAGTCAGGAAAGAGCCAGACTGCCAAGCCGAGGCCGGCCGGGACGGATTGTTCGGAGAAAAAGCCATCCGTCACCTGCTCATTTTCATTTGTCCAGAAACGGAGCCCGGTTGGATCAGATTCCGTGCTGCTGGACTAGTCAACTCTGGGCCTTGAATAGAATCCTTAGTAACTTAGTACTGGGTAAGACTAGACTAGGACTGGGGAACAATGCGAGTCGTCACGGGTAAGCTGTACTGGAGACTACAACATGGCTCATACTGAGTAGATCAATTCAAAGGAGAGATTTTCAACTTATCAGAATACGTGAATACGAGGCGTTGATAACTGTCCCTGATCAGTAGTAGTTAACAGAATTAATTAAAAACCTCAAGCGACTCCAACACACTCCCAGCCGATCTTTGTAGATGATCCCTTAAGTCCGTCCGCAGCGCTACTTACCTCCGTTTCAGGGACAAACAAAGAGTATTGACTGGAACAGTATCGAAGCTTTGCTTACCTACTCGGTTTTCGTTCTTTAACTACCCTTTCTTACTCTTTGGGGGCAGACAAAGCCAGAAAGGCAGCAAAGCTGTTACGTGACCAGTTGAACCTTGAACCTTCGTTAGCTCGATGACTCCTCCAACTTTCATCCAGGAGCTGTGACTGACGATCGTGTTCATATTTTCCCTTTTACTCTCTTTCTAGTGGCATGCCCCCATTTTTTTTTTCCTGATGGATACTTGTCAACTCTGTCGGACAGATCAGATCAAATTCCCTTCAGTCCCTCATTTTCCCCTCTTGTGAAGCTTTGACATCATCTCCGGTACATTTCTTTTCTTACCCCAAAATTTAAAAGTACATTTTTCGCCTTATCGTGCTAGACTCTCGCCACGTGCCTGTATCGGGGAAAGATTGGTTTGATTGAGTAAGCCACACTTCTTCTCTCAGCCATTCCATCATTCATCGCCTTACGGTCTAATTCCTCCTCCCCCCTTTGCCTTCGACTACTTTTCAATCATAATTTATCCCCACCGACTACAGGCTCTAACCCCAGCTCACCCTAGTCGTTCCTTATCGGCATCTGGATTTTCGCGAACACCTTCCCGCCCCAACGGCCGCTCCCTTCCATCTGCCCGTTGACGTCGTCGGGGACGAACCCCGCATCGCCCAAGACGCTCGAAGCATACCCGCTTGCACTGGGACTCCACTCCCTCACATAGGCAGGCTCCTATACTTTGCACCTTGCTGGATCCTCGCCCCCACGCCACCATGGACGGCATCGGGGAAGCGCCCGATGGCATGGGCTTCGACATGCCAATGCTCATGAACCAACAGCAGCAATTCTACGGCGCCTATGGACCGGATGGTTCGCCGATGGCGTCCGCTCACCAAAATATGTCTTACCAGGATGAGCAGTCAATGGGCGCCGGAGAAGATACCAATGATGCGAAGAGGCGAAGGATTGCAAGGGTAAGTCGCTAGTGATGCGCATGAAGTGTTTTCGGGGGGAGTTCAGCGCGCTGATTGTTCGCCGCATAGGCATGCGATATGTGCCGGAAGAAGAAAATCAAGTGTGATGGGAAAATGCCCAAGTGCTCGCACTGCATCAATTACAAGACAGATTGTGTGTTCACACAGGTCGAGAAGAAACGGAATCCGCCAAAGGGGTATGTACTCCGTCTGCTACCGGTCCCTGTGTTCTATCTCGCTGACGGGTTTGCTCTTGTATAGCGCCAAATATATTGAAGGATTGGAAAACCGGCTGGGAAGGATGGAGTCGCTGCTCCGACTTTCCGGTTTACTGTCCGAAGACGATGGTGGAAAGACTGATTTGGGAACGCTGGAGAAACGCCTGGCCGATCGATCGCTGGCAAACGGTGGCATAAGCCGTCCTAAAAGTCCGAACAAATTCACCGCTCCTCAATCCAACGCTCAATCGCAACCGGCGACTTCATCGCATCATTCCACCCCTCGTGTTGAATCTCAGTCTAGTCCGCGCACAGCTGCTACATCGCCGGAATCACAGAAGGAATCAGAACCCGAGGTCGAGGGCTTGTCGGATATGATGTGCTCGTTGGTAACGAACAATTGCGGAGAAACGCGCTATATTGGTGAGTGCTTTTAGATGATCACAGCATGGGCTGGCATTAATAAATGACAGGGTCCTCTTCGGGGTTCTCAATTTTCTCTCCCAAGGGTATCCAGTGGGTCAACGAGAAGACCGGCGACACTTCCTTCCAAGACATGATATCTTCTGCCTATATCGACGACAATAAGTGGATGTATTGGAAGCCCGAGATATTCAGCGACATCTTTGCCCGTCGCGTGTTCAAGCCATTGCCGCCCAAGGAAGAGGCTATGTCTCTCTTTCGAGACTTCTTTTCCAACTTTAACTGTATGTTCCCGCTCTTCCACGAGCCGACATTCATGCACTTGGTGGAACGCCAGTATTCTCGGGATCCGTACGAAGGTTCTGGCTGGTGGGCTAGTATCAACGTGGTCCTGGCGATCTCGCACCGACTTCGAGTTATGAGCAATCTAGTGCCGCAGGAAGAAGACAAGAAGGCTTGGCTATACTTGAAGAACGCTATGGCTGTTTTGACCGAGCTTACTATGCGAAACACGGATTTACTAAGCGTTCAGGCCCTACTTGGCATGGTAAGTGATCCACTTCAGAAGTACTTTTGATATAGTCTTAGTGCTCATCGAACCGTAGTCGCTTTTCTTGCAGGGGACACCAAACCCCCAGCCGTCCTTTTTCCTGGTTGCAGCTGCCATCCGACTTTCTCACAGTATTGGTCTGCACAAGCGGGGTTCTGGATTTGGATTGAATCCGGTGGAGGTGGAACAGCGGAAACGAGTGTTTTGGATTGCTTACCTTCTGGACAAAGAGTGAGTTAGATTCCATATACCTGACGACTCCCTTTTAACGTTCCATCAGTATCTGTCTTCGGTCCGGTCGCCCACCTGTTCAAGATGATGATGATATGAATGTCGAGTTACCGAGTGATGACCCCCCAGACAACATCGGCAACGTCCCGTTATCGGACGGTACCAGATTCAACCTGTTCAGATCCATGTGCCGCTTTGCCATCATTGAAAGCCGAGTGTACAAGCGACTCTATTCCGCCAAAGCCTCGAAACAGTCTGATGGCGAGTTATTGAACACCATCGGAGATCTTGATAAAGAGCTCGAAGAATGGAAAGATAGCATTCCTGTTGAACTCCGACCAGAAAACGAAATCAAGACCACCCATACGCCCCTTATCCTGCACGTTGTCGTGCTTCATTTTGCGTACTACAACTGCTTGACTACTATCCACCGCATGTCCGTACACCATGGCTACTGGACGAGCCGTCTATCCAATTACGCGATTCAAGGTCTGAATGCGAGACCGTTGAATCCCAGGGTATTCTTGTCGGCGGTTCTCTGTGTAACGGCTGCGCGCGCCTCTATCAATCTTATCAAATACATACCCCAAGGCGATTTCGCCTGTGTCTGGTGAGTACTGCGTTGAAATGGACTGCCAGTCTTTAGATTAACATGGAATAGGTTGATACTTTATTATCCGGTTTCCTCTTTGGTTACTCTATTTGCAAATATTTTGCAAAATCCTAATGATGCGCGGGCTCGCTCCGACGTCAAGTTGATGAACGTGGTCGTCAACTTCCTGTCTACTCTCGTCTCCGACGAGTCCAACGGAAGTGTTAAGCGTATGCTTGCTCTTTGCGGTGAATTCGAACGCATCGCCCAGGTAGTCCTCGACAAAGCCGAAAGAGACAGCCACTCGAAGAAGAAACGCAAATCTGCTCCCGATGAACCACGGCATGCGCCAGGGCACACAGCAGATGGAGATCGCCAGCCCGCTACACCAGCCGCGAAGCCAACAGATTCAGCACCGCCGCAACCTCCCACGACCGTTCCCTTTTCATCTCCCTCGTTTTCGAATAATCCAAATCAGCCCGCAGCCAACATCCCTAATGGGCCACGAAATTTCACCCCAGGCCAGCCGCTCTCTGGAGCGAACGGCTTCACCACGAATCTCCAGGACAGCATGCACGGTCTATCAGGCCTTGGTGGAGACTTTGAAATGCTCAGTCCAGGTAACCTGGAAGGCGTGAACTTCGGCGACCAAGCACCCTTCACAACCAGTCCCGATACCCCTCTCGCACCCTTCCAACAACCCTTCGTCCCACAAGATCTCTGGCAAATGCCAATGACAATCGAATGGGACTGGGCAGATATGTCGAATAACTTCCCCGTCTTCGGTGATACCAACAACGGCCCACCGAACGGGCCATAACATGACGACACGAAGAACCCTCCCATTCTCGAATCCATATCCTTACCAGTTCCAGCGGACGCCTGGGGTCTTCAGCACGTACATACGGACAATTTGTCACTTTTCTCCTCTTCTCTGACCATATTATAATTCGTCTGAGCTTCCGGCGTTTCCCAAAAGTCTAGGACGCACGCGCACAGCTATCACGCCACTCCACTATGATTGATTCTTTTTTTCTTTCTTATTGTCACTACTCCCTCCTCCCTCCTCATCTACTTTTTCGTCGGTCTTCCTTAAATATGTTTTTTTGGGTGAGAAAGCTTTCTCAAGGGAAAGACTGCACTTGATACTCTTCTGTGTTTACATGTTTGGCGTCGGTCGGCGAAATATACATCGGATTCGAAGGTGTAATATCATACATACATACATACATACGTGATAGGTAGTAATTCTACTATCGAGTTACTTAGTTACTCTATTGTCTCTCCTTAAAAATCTTACCCATAATATATCGCTACAACTTAGTAGAGTAGGATAGTTCCTTCAAGACACGTGGATTTCCAAATTAGGAACAACGGATGATGAAAGAAGAATCAAAATTCTGCACCATACATACATTTGAATAGAAATACACAGTTTCATCCCTTAGTAGATCGTGCTTCCAGGTCAAGAACCCCACTACAACAGTAGAATACAGATATACAAACGATGCTATGCATCTAGACCCCCGCAGGACGTAAAACGTAGTGATTTATTCGTATAATGTATTGATTGATCGATTGATTCGTTATTCGAATGTAGAAGATGAACTTCCCTCCTTCACGGCACCCTCAGCCGGATCCTAAAAATGGGGATAATGCAAGATCATGACGTTCGGTTACAATGACCGAGATATAGTATAGGGTGTAAGAAAAAAAAAAAGTGGGAGCAAAGGAAATTGAGGAGACCAAGGAATAATACGCAAAAAACACCTTGACGGCTGGTACGAGGATGCAGCGACTTAATAGGTACAAAAAATTCCAAAGGACAAAGGAAATTGGTATAAACGGACATTGTGAGTGTGGGTGGTGGTGGGTCGGCGGACCTTGTTCGGTAAACCTGGCCGAGGTATACAAATCCTGGGGTAAAACTGGCATACATGCAAAAGGGGGTGTTCCAACTCCAGTTTCAACGCAACTAGTCAAGAAAGAATAACCGGCATTTACAGAAGTCGCGCAAAGCTCGTACATGTCATCAAGTGATGGCTGTGATACAGCGGTCTGGCCAGCGATCCAAGGCTGAACCAGAATGAATATGAAGATCCGGAGGGGTGGGAAGGAGGGAGTCTAGACGGACGTGAGTCGTCGTCCTACTCTTCCATTCGGCCGAAGACGCCGTCGTCATCATCGTCTGCCTGTGTAGGCCGGCTCCCGAAGTCGACGTCCGCGTTGCGATGCTGCCGCTTGGCACGGTCAGCATTGCCCGTTCTCACTTCTCGCTCATCGGACACCTTGTATGACAAGGAGGGGTTGAATGACAGCGAGAGGAAGTTCGGGGTGGTGCTGGAGAAAGCCGCATCGGTAGCATCTGTTCTCGATTGATCCAGGCTACGGCCCTGGTTATCGACGGAGCTGGCTTGATCCAAGTAGCGGGTAGGGAGTGGAGGCACCGGTGGCACGCTCGGAGACATTTGCTGTGGCCCCATGCGCGGGGTTCCGAAGTTGCAAAGTCCGATGGCAGCAGCCAAGTCGGCCTCATCGTCTTCGTGCAGCTTGGCTTCGGCGGTGGAAGGTCGGGTGTCGATACTGGAATGGCGGAAATGTGAAAACGCCGGTGACGCCCATGGGGCACTGTTGGTGAAGGAGCTCGAGGGACCGGACTGGTAGGAATGGGAGAAGTGGGCTGACAGGTTGCCAGCGCTGTACCGCTTGTCCATCGTTGCCGGCTCCATAGACATGTCTTCGTCGTCATCGTCATCATCTTCGTCCATCGGAGGCGGGGTCGTTTCAGCTGAGCTGAGGCCGTCCCGAAGCTCCGACGACGCATCTGGTGACGCGGAAGAAAGATCCGACTCGGCCTCTCCGTTCTCTTCCGGACCATCCTGAGTCATGGTGACCAGAACGGAGGCAGCCTCCAGCAACTGGACCTGCTGATGTTTGGAGATCAAAAGCTTCGAGGTAATTGCCCATGCAGGGTCGTGTTCCCACCTAAGTTCCATAAAACGTCAACCCACTGCGTCCCAGCACGGCATGAGAGAGGTAGAGGAGAGGAGAAGTGAGATCAGGGGAGCTGGATGACCACGAGGGCGACCTTGCACAGAGCCGACATGGCGCATTGCTCCGGACCGAGCCAGACGGCAGGATGGCATGGGGGGAGGATACACACATATGCTTGGACAAGCAGCTGCCATGCTTATACCCTTTCCCGCAGCGATCGCAGCGAAGGTCTGCCATGGCACGCTTCCCTTCGCCTTTGACCAGGTGCGATCCTTCGCTGGCCCGTCTGTTTCGGTTCTTAGTGCTGACCGGCTTGGGGTTCGGGTTATTGGCATCTGCATTTGTCGGACCCGTCGACGATCCATCGTTGGCCTGGTTGGGTGACGTCTTGCGAGCGACCGGCGGTTCTTGGCTGGGACTGTTCATGCTTCGTGAAAGATAAGAGCCGAAACCGGAGGGGGCTCCGACCGAGCTGGACTCTAGGCCCTTCCGGCTCCCGCGCCGATGAGAGGGCATCGTAAGCCCCGTCCCATCACCAGGAGCCTCCTTCATAGACGCCGCGACCGCGGCGGCGGCAGCATTTGCGGCGGCAGCGGTAGTAACGCTCTTGCGGCGAGTCACCCGGAAATTGGAGTTGACGGCACCGAGGGAGATGGAGTGAGAATGGTGGCGGGAGTTATGTTGGGGGAGCGGACGGGAAAGGGACAATTCCTAAGAGATAAGTATGACTGTGTTAGCCTGACCCACTGAGAAAGGGTGGTGGTGATTGCATCCACACACGACTATAGCCGGAGTGGCCATGAAAGGGAAGCTGGAGAGTTACCTTGAACGAGGCCATCTTTGAGTGCGTGGACTCTCAGGCCTACAATTCGATGAATGCCCTTATTGTGGCGAGCGATGGAGAATGAGTAATCGATGCGGAGTGCTGGTTGCTGATAAGCAGCAAGTGGTGGTGAGGTTGAAGCTGAAGAGGAAGAATAAAAAAAAAAGAAAGAGGCGAAAGAAAGGAAAGAGGAGAAAGTGAGAGACGGTTGGAAAGCTAGTTTAACTGGTAGGCGAATACCAGGGATACGAGCGGGCGACCAGGTACCTGCGAGGCTAAGGGTAAAAAGGTTCAGGACCCAAGCACAAGCAAAGTAGTCAGACACGGGGGCAATTGGGGGGAGGGGGGTGAGTCAATGGGCGGGCGAGATAGATTTAGTAGATAAAGGGAGAGAAAGATGGGTGGATCAATGAAAGAAAGGGGAGAAGGAAATAGTGGAAGAGTAAAGTAGAGGTAGTTAGAAGTGGAAGATGGAAGGGGAGGAGGAAGAAGTACAAGAGGGAGGGAAAGTTTAGAGGAGAGAGAGAGAGAAAGAGACAAAAAGAGGAGAAAGAGGAGACAAGCCCAGACAAGACAGACAGACAAGACACAGACACAGACCAGAGACAGTCACGACTAAACAGCTACTGTTACTAGTGAGTGGTTAACAAAAAAAGCTGCAGGGCGATGCAAAGATGGACGGATTGGATGGCAGCACGAGGCCGTCTGGCTGGGACGGGTTACAGCCCTTGATTGGATGAGGCCATTGTACGATTACTGCGACTTTACAGAATTACCGGAAATCTACTAAATTCAATGATGAATGACGATATGCTCCCGTATTGATCTAAATATTTTAAGGTAATTTTTACTCCCTTCCTTCCTCTTTTTGTTTAATTTCATTACTTTTATTTTGCGGGGGGTGTCGCCATTTTTCCAATTTGGCCCTTTTTGGGTTCGCTAGTCCAAGTCCAGGAGTTGGCCTTGAGCAATGCGGGGGTTCGGGCGATCAGACACTGGGAAAAGTTGCTAAAAGTGCTCCATTTAATTTCGCCATTCAGCTTATCCGTCAGCTTCGGGCAAAATCACTAAAAAAAAAAAATAATTTGCCGCTGGTTTGCAGTCAACCTGACGATTTTCTTACTTTGAAACAGTTGATTGATTCAATAGAAGGATTGAAATTCCTTCAGGATCTTCTGCTGATTATTGTTATTATTTTTCTTTCTCACCATCCTGGTCAGGGTTTGCCCTGGTTCCTGACTAACCGGCGGCCAGCAAGAACAAGAACAACCAGGCAAGTGATGTGATTTGCTCCACTCGCACCGGGGTTCCGAGAGAAGTGGACTGGAAGGGAACGGGAGACCCAGGTCTGGATGGATAGATGATATCAACCAGTGCCTTGGAGGGTTCCATTGAGAAAAAAAAAATCTAGTCAAAAAATAAACAGATTATTTAGGTCATGATAACACACAATTATTACAAAGGAGAAAAAGGAAGGAAAATAGAAAACAAGAATGGTCCAGAAGGTGCATAATCCGCGGAGAGCTTTCATGGAATGTTTCTGCTTGTCTGTCTTGCTTTTTTGGCTGTCTACTATTTCTGGGAAATCTGTCGCAAAAGGACAAGTGTAGTTCCCAGTCCGTCGTCACCTGTTGGACTGATCATCCGTTCAGCAGCAGCCCACCAGCTCTGGTATGGATGGTGACACCCCAGACATTTTTCTTTTTTCCCAAACTTTTTTCTTGCTTCTTTTTTGTTTCTTTTCTTGCCTTGCTGTCCTTTTAAGAAATAGTTGAGACGGCCTAGAACAAAAATAAAAAAAAGTCTTGTGAGAAAAAAGAATAGTATGTCTTCAGGTACAATGATCTCCGAAAAGAGAAAGAACAGGAAAAGAAATCCAACAGGTGACAATTATGATTTTCACTCCCTCCCAAAGAATCAGAGGAAACGAACTAATGCCAGTAATCGATCCATTGTGGTACAATGAATGGATGACTGACTTTAAGTGACTGACTTTCCCACCAAAAATCACTCACTCACTTTTGCTGATCGGGGGTGCCCGCCCCGTGGCCATGACCATACGGTAATTTATTACGCTGCGATGGACCGGTCTAGGGCCTGCAAGTGGGGAGATGACATCATCGCGGATGACGATACCATACGGATGATTGACAGAGGGGCCCGGGAACTGCCACCCGGTTTGGAGTACCGGTAATGTAATATGACGGGGTCACGGCCTTATCTTGAGACCCCCTCCATGGCAGCCCAGCCAAGTTGCCTGCTTGGGTCTAGCGCCTCCAGGAGGTCCAAATCAGTTGATAGCGATTGCCGCCCATCGTTACAAATAGGAATGCCTGGCGCGTCGAGGGGAGGGGTTATCAGAGGACAACTATCTAGTCAATATTTAACCAGTTAGTCAACGACTAAATGTCTGACTAGCGATCGGGGTGTGGTGCGCTGCACTTACAAAGCAACGCTCTAAAACTACCGTGATGCCTTTGAGAATAACTTACGCCTTTGTCCGTTGCAGTACGATTGGCCGCCTTCTGTTCGACAAACACGGCTCTGGGTGGTCTCGGGCAACGAAAAGGGCCTTTATCCTTCCCACGCAACATTGTTGAGGTGCCTCTGGTCACTAACAACGCGTCAACCTCTGTGTTATTGCTCTATCAGACGGGCCATGTCAATAGATGATGCATGAGCTGATCAATCGGTGCTGACTTGGCTCTTCCACAGCATATACCCAACGAACAGCTCCGATTCGCATTAACTTTGTCCTCAAAGTGCATTGCCGACATGGAAGACCGACACGGATTGCCAGCGTTTCGGATGGGGACAATGCCACCAATGTAGGGTGATCTGTGTCTCGTTGTTGACAATGTGGCCATGAACAAACACGTCGCGTCGACAGGTCAATATTCAAAGATCATCTTCAATTACAGATGGAGGAGTAATAGAAGAAGGATCTGAAAGCTGGGTCAATCATCACCGTTGGCCCTCAACCGAGCGGGGAACCTGGACACAATCGGGTATCTTTATAGCAGACTACCACGTTAACGAGAGGTCTTATAGAAGCACCTCAAAAGGTATGGTATGATACTCGTACTAAATTCGCAGGTGGTATGAGGAGTTTCAACCAAACGTGGGTTGACTCGCTCGGAGCATCAGCTGTAGTCCGGAGTAGCATCCGACCGATCCATTGACCTGTGATACGCGATACTTTCTGCAGCAAAGTTACCACGAGCGTTGGCCAGGTACATGAAAAGAGAACGACTAGTAAAGTAAGGTAAGCATCAAGTCAGGATCGGCTTGTCGATCGGGCCTGAGGATTTCCGGTGATTCGATCCAACGGAGGAGAGTCACTTGCTCAGAGTGCAGTGGGTGAGATGCGACCGTTGCTGCACTGCATCAGATGCCTTCGACCCTCACTGATAATATGAAATAGTAATGGAATGTCTTATAGTCGGGCACATAGTGCAGCCCCTCTCGTTGGTATTCAGCAAAGCACTGCTAACTACTGTCGCTACAAAGTATTTAGCTAACCAACTTCTACCATCTAGATCTGCTCGACTGACTTAGGAAAATAAGGCTCAGTAATTCTCCGGACAGCGAGAAGCTAATCTTCCTCGCGCCTCTAGAATATTCAGATGCCCGCATTGTAACACTCCACCTTGCACATCACCCCCAAATAACCATGGATAGTCAACTCTCTTTCACGCCCCAAAAAAGGGACGGCCCTATACTTCAGGCACTGTTGTCTCCGATTGGCCGCAGCGGCAGTGGGTACACCAATCAATTTCCCACCGTGTGTCTATAGTAGAACCACTTCAAACTCCTCTTTTCCCCCTCACGCGCCCCTCCGAGAAAACTATTGAGACAAATCTCTATAATAAGACCCAAGCAGAAATGCTTCACTCGCGCCTTCGCCCTCTTCCTCGTCGACATCCCCTCCCCAACTCCGAGGACTCTGCCCCTCGCCCCGATTTCGCCGACCCCGAGACTGAGGCCGACCCGGAGGAATCTTCCGAAGACCTTTTCGCCGCATTTCTCCCACACCTGTTCCCAGATGATGCACCCTCTTTCCACGGCGATCCAGGCCAGCATCTTCTCTACTCGTCTCCGCGCTATGGCGATCTCGAGATCATGGTCCCCTCGTACCCAACCCAGAGCGGCAAGCGCTCGCAGGAGGTAGCGGAGGGGCTACCCCGCCCCGACAGCCAGGTCAACCATATCGAAGAGGGCCGGAAGCTGTTTGCACATTTCCTCTGGAGCGCGGCCATGGTTGTTGCCGAGGCGGTAGAGAAGGCCGATGAGCTGGAAGCTAGTGGGCAATTGAAGAGTACGGATGAGCTTGCCATGTGGAGGGTGAGGGGAGAGAGGGTGTTGGAATTAGGCGCTGGTCAGTGTACCTCCTACCCTACTTACCTTTTCCCCCAGAATACTTTGAAAAAAAAGAAAAAAACACCACAAAACATACATATTAACGGGCCTTTAGGCGCCGCATTACCATCCGTCGTCTGCGCCCTCGCCCAAGCATCCACCGTAACAGCAACCGACCACCCCTCCTCCCCCGCCTTATCAGGCGCCATCAAATTCAACCTGGACCACAACCTACGCTCCCCCAAGGTGTCATCAACCTCGACGACCGTGACAATCCAACCCCACGAATGGGGTACCCTAGAGACCGATCCCTGGGCCGTGCAGAACAAGGCCAGCTTCAACCGCATCGTCGCAGCAGACTGCTACTGGATGCGCTCGCAGCACGAGAACCTCGCGCGCACGATGTGCTGGTTCCTTGCCCCTGGCGGGCGGGTCTGGGTAGTGGCTGGATTTCATACCGGACGGGCGATTGTCGCAGGCTTTTTCGAGACGGCAGTGCAGACGGGATTGGAGATTGAGCGGATCTACGAGCGGGATTTGATTGCGGGCCAGGAAGATGGACGCGAGGTGCGTCGCGAGTGGGTGGCGCAGAGGGAGGGAGAGGGACCGGAGAACAGGAGACGGTGGTGTGTGGTTGCGCTTTTGAAGAAGAAAGACGATAACTAAGATGGGTAGATGGATGGATGCGCCATGAGTAACGACAACGACACAGCATAGATACTACAACAGCGAGAGCCAAGACATAGACATTCACATATACCTTCTATACTTACTTATATAACTCTATACCAAATCTATTCTTCTACTAGAATCATACCCTCTGAAAACACACCGTACAAACACCCTGTCCTTCCCTCCCCCCAAACCTAAACCTCGGATACTCAACCCGTCCCCAAACCACAAACTTATCCTCCTCCTCACCACCACCACCACCAGAAGAAGTATCAGCCCTAGTAAACCAAGCAACCAACTCCTCCTCGGTCCAATTACAACTCGTAACAACCACAAACCCACCCTTCCTCACCAACCCCCTCACAATCCCCGGATATCTCTCACACACTCTCCTCTGAACCGTCTTTCCCGACGCATGCCCTTCAGCAGCACCATCAGCATCAGGAATAACCTCATCCGACAACGAAACGGCATCAAAAGTCCCCTTATCAAGCACAATATCAAACCCGCCCTTATCATACGGGAACCAATCCACCTTCCCTTTCCCATTACTACCTTCTTCCGAAGTAGTAGTAGTAGTAGTAGTAGTAGTCTCATACACATCCCCATGCAAAATATCCCACTCCTCGAATCGAATATTCGTATCGCCTCCTTCCCCATTCCCCTCTTTACCCCCCTCATCATCCCCATCAGATCCCTCATCCTCCGAGTCAGATAAATAAGCCGAGTGAATCCTCAACCTCTGCAACTCCCTCGCCAACTGCACGCTCCTAATGGAGTAGTCAATCCCTACCATAACACCCTTATACCCGCCTCTTTTGCGTAACAGGGCGAGCATGCTCCCGTTGCCTGTGCCGAGGTCGAGGATAGATGGAGCTTGCTCATCACCATTGTCTTTACTAATGTTGGTGTTCACCGGCGCAAGCGGAAATTCCTCGTCCGTGAGAAACTGCAGGACTTTATCGGGCGCATTGTGTTCCGAGAACCATGATGTGCCGGGGTCGGAGTCGTCATCTATATCATCTTCTTCATCTTCTTCAGATTCAGGGTCTGAGTCTGAGGAGGTGGTGGGTTTGGAGTTGGGAGTGGGTTTTGTGGTGGTGTGTTTTGTGGAGAGGTGGGAGAGGGTGCGGGCGTAGAAGGTTTCCCAGCTATATAATTTTAATAAGAGCATTCTGTTAGAAGAGGGGTTTAGATGCTTGATTTTTGGGGGTATGGTGGTCGAAATAGGGGAATTTGGGTATGGTGTATGAGGGGTAGCGGGGTAGAGTGGATGAAAACTTCGTTGGTTTTTTTCGTATCCGGATGGATGCTGATGTTGGCTGCTACTTACTAGTCTTTTGTGCCTAGTTCGCTAGGCGACAGATGCGCCGGATGGCTGTCGTCGGCCATATTGTCAGACTGTCCTTGTGTTCTGATCAGAGGCAGTTTGGCTGTGTCGAAAATTCACAAGTCCAACCCGCATGACGTTTCAGTAGGTTCAATGCCAGCCGCTCGGCACTCGGCCCGCTTTAAACCCGCTACAACTACCAAGTAAACTCCATACAAACTTTATACTACAAACTACACTCACACTCCTACGAGTAAATGTTCTTGTTAACTTTGATTCAATCACTAGCCCCAGGGTATTTCGCAGCTGAAATGCCAATATCGACAACACAGAATGAGTGGACGAATACACAGGGTGCATCACAAACGAACAGTAATAATATTACAAGTTACCAGGCAACTCTTCGCCGCCTTTTATCATCTTTTTAACACCCAGGACGCCGGTTGACCAAACGCATGCAATGTCGACGCACGGCCTTGAATGCAACATGGACCGCTGGTTGACCGAGGGAATGAAATTGCACTGTGGCAGATGTATGAACGAAAGAATAACGACCGTAAGCCCGCTTTGGTCATCAAGTCATCAAATCAGAAGAGAAAAAAAAAAAGGGAAATGGTAGAAGCGAATAGAAAGAGAAAAATGCCACCACAGCTGAAAAGAGAGAATGACGGTAGATCGAGTAGATCATAATGAAAGCTGTAGAGATGGGACAAGGTCAACACGAGTAAACCTCAAGTGTATATGGTCATGGAATCATTTCTTGGACGTAGCTCCCGGAAGCCCGTCCTCAAGACAATCTGTCTTGGACATTATGGCAGAATTACAGAAACTCATCAATATTCCTCATGATCAGGCGCTCATTGCCTGGAGGCGGTGATCGAGGGTCTGCAACTCGCGACCCGAACCGCAGCCCGTGGGGACCGTCGTCCTCGAGGCAGTCGGCAATAGAACGTGAAAGAGGCGGGGCCAGAAATCCAGTGGTTCTCGGCGAGAAAAGCGAGTTCATTCCATCTGGCATGTCTTGCACGAAGACGTCCGTTTTGGCCAGAGAACATGGCCCGCCTTCGGGACGCCACGAAGGCGCGGTATATTCAGGTTGTAGAGTTTTGCCCGTCGGCCCCAGGTGATAAGTAGCCTGCCGGAAGGGCAGTGGCCGAGGAGACAAGCTGCGCTTGTGTGAGAGCGACTGTGAGAAGCCCAGATTCTCTATCAAAAGCGGCGTCGTCTGGTTGGAGGACACCGATAGAGAGCTCATCGACGACTGCGAAAGGCCGTTCGACGAAGCTGGCTCCGCATCCGAACTGCCACTGAGAAAGCCCGGCGTGCTGGCTTCCGAAACATCTGTCCTGGCTGTTTGGAGTGGCTGAGGCTCGGAGCACCTGCGCGCCCCGCCGACAAACCACTCCTCCGGGGCCGCTTTCGAAAGCTTGCCGCGGAGTAGCCGAGAGCGAAAGTCCGTCAGCTGATAGATCAGACTCATGTTGGGGCTGACCCAGCGACTACGTTCTTTAACAAGCTCGTAGACCGAGTTGAAATCCAACTGTCGGTTTTTGTAAAGACCATAGGCGATGACCAACGATGCCGATCGACTAGCACCCAGCTGGCAGTGAATGAGTACCTTTTTACCTTCAGATATGCGAGAATCGATCAACTCGCACAGCGGGAAAAGATCATCCAGAATCTCGGAGTTGTGGTCCCAACCGACGTGGACATATTCCGGTCCAGACGAGTCCTTCTGAGGTGTGGCAGGCGAAGAGTGGTCATTTTGGGGGAATTCAAAGGCAGACTTGAAGGATGCATCGGACATGGCCGTCCACGGTTCTCCAGTGGACAGTCGCTTCGTACTGGCCGACCCATTGCGCAAGGTGCTGACCACCGTGCCGGTGCTACCAGCAGTCGCGGTGAACGGGTTTGCCACCTCCTTGGCCACATTCACGACCACATCAAATTGCGAAGCTTCTTGCGCGGTCGGCTCCAGGTACAGGAAGACGCCAGAGTCATAGATTTGGATCGGTCCATTCGGATAACCTCGCTCGCTGCGCCGCGTCGATTCTCTCGAGTCGAGGTGGTCATCCTCCTCTTCCAATTCATGCAGCACTCCCGATCCTTCGTCGGGCACCGTTTGCAGAGGGGAGAGGTTGCTCTCTGACGCACCCGACGGTCGCCGGGCACCATGATGGGTCATCGGTCGGGGCAGTTGCATGCCACCCTTCGGGCCGAATGATGGAGAAAACACTGACGTGAGGGACGGGGACGACTCGGTGTGGCGCAAAGCGTGCGGGGTCGGCGGCACATCGTTACCGTTGCTTGAAAAGGACCGATCAAACCCGGGAGTGCGGATCGTAAGATTGGCGGGCTTGCGGCGCATGCCCTTGGGTGGTACATGGATCGGGGAAGGCGGGGCGGAAAGATGGTGTTGGGAGGTGGTTTCTACGACAGAAGCCGTTGCAATAGGTGGGCGGGACCCTTGCGATGGCAGAGGCATTCTCAGAGAAAGATTCTTGAGGTTGCGTGCGCGCCTGCCGGGGGAGTCGGGCCGTGCGACATTTTGGCTATCCGTTGACGGTTTCAAGTCGGTGGTCGGAGTCGCCGAGTGCATTTGGCACTCAGCCTTGTGGGCAACTGGCATAAAGGTAGGATATGATAACGGCATGGATGACGGAGATTCGGGCGAGGAGCTCGGGGAGGTATCCACGGCCGAAGGAGGATCGAAGGTGGAGATGGTGGTGGTGGGCGACGAATCAGTGGAGCCTGATGTCATCGATGATATACTTTCGCGATGTTGAAAGGGAAGTGGGCGTCGCAATGTGTTGACTGTGACATTGGTCGGAACCCTAAGTGGTTTGACGAGTGAAGTTCGGTCCTTCGTGTCGGGGAACTCGGGCGACCTCCCAAACACAGACATAAAAGAAGGGAACGAATCCGGGGCTGACGGTGAGCTGGTTTGCACAGGCATCGTGAGGCCCGGGGAGGGTGGAGATGAGGAGGTACACCTGCGTTTGAAAGGGGACACCCTCTCAGGATCGCAGCTGCTATAGATCGCTGGCGCAAATAATGTAGCCGTAGCACAATTATTGCCACCAGCCCGGGGAAAACAAGATAGAGTCGCACTTGCTACCAGCGCAAATGACCTTTTGGACAGAGGACAATCAGCTTCCATGTTTCAGCTTATGTTGACCTTCGATGGCAGAGAGGCAAGCACGGCTGCAAGGAGGGTGAAACCAGAATGGCGATCGGCCAGCTTGAAATGAAACCACGAGAGCTACCGGCGGTTGTAAGAGAACCAGGGGAGAAGCAGCAGCAGATGGTGGATAGAAGGATAGGACGAAAGCCATTCACAGAGGGATCCCAACAAGGTCCGAGACTGGGAACATACCAAGGAATGCCGCAAGAGAACTGTTGCCTCTTTATTTGGAGGATGTTGTCAGTGATAGGCGTAAAGGATTGTTATTGATAACGTCAACGGGAAGCAACAACGGCGACATGGATAGAAAGTCGAAATCGGAAATAGACAATTAAGATGAATGAGGGATTGACAAGAAGCAGAAAAGAAAACAGAAAGAAAAGAATAAGCAGAGAACCAAGGGGGGTGGAGGTTTTCTGGAAAGTGATGGAGGGCACAATGCAACTGGGAGGAATAGCCGCCCGGTGATTGTGTGGGCAGTCGTTCCTCCGGGGAATGACGAAAGAAGCAGCAGTTGTGGGAGGGTCTCGGTCACAGAGAAGAAGAAGAGGAGAGGGAAGGGAGCAAAGAACGACTGCCCACCCACCCAAAAGAAAAGAAAAGCAGACTTGTGGATAAAGAAGCAAGTCCCTGTGATGAGGGGGGGGGGAAGGGAGAGGGGGTTTAGTTTTTTTGGTGAAAAAGAAAAAAAGGAAGGAAAAGGAAGGTAAGAAGAGGAGAGGGGAAAAAGGTAGAAGAGGGGAAAGGGAAAAGAGGAAGATCGAGGGTGAGTCGAGCCAGCCAGAAAGGAAGGGAAAAGAGCGAAAGAGAGAGTAGTAAGAGAGAGAGAGCGCGCGAGACAGAGTGAGAGAGAGTGAGTGACAGAGCACGAAGTACTACTAGACTAGAGCCTGTCTGTCTGTCTTCCCGATGGCAGGCACCACAGCAGCAAACAACAGTAACCGCAACAGCAGCAGCACAAGCAGTAGGTTCTTTTTTTTCAGTGGCGGCAGTCACAGCAACGGCAGCAAATAATAAGCAACCGAACCCACCCGAGCGCTAAGAATAAACCACCGCACGGTATGGGAAAAGACGCCGTGACTTGCCAGACTTGCCAAACTTGCAACAGAAAAGAAAAAGTAAAAAGGTAGCAGTTCGTTTTGGGACGGGAAAGGGAAAGGGCGGATGTCCTGATTGGGTCCGGCCGGCCGTGTTGCTGTCAGCCAGCCAATCACCAGCTTTTACGCTGTGAAAGTGGATACCAAACAGCCCCATTCAGCCAGTTGGTACCACCCAATCAACGCCCGGTCGAAGCAGAACATCCAGCGCCTGCAGCTCTAAATTTAGCCGCTCGGGTTGGTGTGCAAAGGCTGGAATGTGCATCATGGGCGCCAAAAGCACGCAAATCAGATGCCAGATTCACCCCAACACCGGCATGTCAGAGCCACCGCATCCCAGCATCCTCCTCCTCTTCCTTCCCTTTCCACCCCTCCGGCCTGGTCGTGGCAAGTAACCACTCAGGTTGGCCCCATCGCCCGGGGGATGAAGGGAACGGAAGGAATTGGATGGGAAAAACTGGGAAGTGATGACCGAGTGGGTAAGGTTCCGATACGGCGACAAGGGGGGTGGAGAAAAGTCATGAAAATCAACTGGGGGTTCCTCTCCAGCATCATGAGTTGCAATCGTGACGGGGCATTCTTTTTGGGGTCTCTCTGCTTTCTGTGCTCTCTCTTGCTCTCTCGCTCTCTCTCTCTCACTCACTCACGACGCTCGCACTCACACTCTCAATCAATCTTTCAATACCTTTCACTCCCATTTCCCATATCTGAGATCTGGCCGACTCTGTCGAGGTCTCCCCATTTCCACTTTGAGGTCCTCATCGGAGAAGTCCAGATGCAGGAGAAAAGCATTCGATTGACTGGAAAAGGAAGGTAAAGGGAAATAAAAAGAAAAGGTAAAATAGTCTCCACAATAGGGTGCCACTGGGAAGACCGCAAACGATAGTTGGTCCAGGAACAAACCAACAGAGGCAGTGAAGTGCGATGGGGGGACTAGTGTGAAAGGACCCAGAGATGACATAAACCCAGGAAGAGAAGGGAAACAGCAACGTAACCGGAACAGGGACGATATTGTAAAATGAAAATAATGATGAAATGAAAAATAAAAGCTGTATACATACCTGTAGAGCTCTTCCTCTTGTCTGAAGGAAATGGTCCGTTCAGCCTCAACAAAAACCGGAGTGAGGCTTGGGATCAAATATGCCGGTGAGAGTAGTGACTCCTGGAAGAATTTCAATCCGTACACCGGGCAAACAATTGCAGAGCGCGTAGCGACGGTAGCTCCGGGCGTACAGGAATAAGGAGTGTGGACAATCGGTCAGGGTAGAAGAAGACCAGAAGAAAAGAAATGGGTAAGAAGACTTCCAGAAGTCACACAGAAGAAAATACTGTCTGTTCAACCCACGAGGGTAGTAATAATCAGACAGACCCGGCAGGTTACGTATCCAAGCAACCTTCTGCACACACACAACAATAATAATACTGTATTTGGGGAGGTTGTCCGACCCGCTGGGGGAGTGCACGGTTCGCGCAGAAAGGTTGTTTGCTGGATGCTTAATCAAAGGGTTCTTTGTGGTCAAGCCGGCTTGAGAGAGAAGACAACAACGAAAAAGAAGCAGAAAAAAGCACGGGCAACCCCCTCCAAAACAAACGGACGAGAAAGTAGACTGCAGGAGATCAGAACTTAAGGAAACATACAACTTTGAGGGGTAGAATCGCTTTTTTACTAGATGCGGATGGCGATTCAGCAGGGACCTCTCTCTGGCATCGAGCCTATGAGAAACAGGTAACGGCGCGGAGGGTCACAGGCTAAGGTGAAACGCAAAGGCTGACTTGACTGGGGCTAAGTTGAAGCGATCCACCTTCCCAGACAAGCCCCTGGAAAAGGTGGACCGTCCGTTATTGGCAGTGTGGGACGAGGAGAAACCGCGGCACGGTTGGTGCTTAGTACTCCGCCGCAACGAAAAGAGAGGTAGGATTCTGCTTTTTCTTTTCTTGAACGGGATGATTTGTTGTGGTTCCTTCAGCAGGATGTATCATCTCACTGTTTCAACCAGCGCGCTCGACAACCGCAGTCTCCGTATCAACCATCTCGGACACACCCAAGGATAGGATCGTTACCACAGTTCCGGACCTGCAAACCTCGCCATCGGCCACTGCAGCTGAAACACGCAGGCAAAAGAGGGCGCGCGCTAAGTCAAACCAATGGGGACGGCGGTGGAGGGGTTCAGCCCGGCTTGAAACACGCCAATCCAATGCTAAGCCACTAGTCCGCCTCCGGATGGGGCTCGCAGTCACGTGTGCGACATCCTCCGTCACACGCCGCCCGCCTATCAAACACTCGCGACCGTGGACGATCAACGCCCGCTTGACGTGATTGAATTGGTCCCAGCTAACTATGGTCTCAAATTTTCAACGACCATGGTGGGTGTACGCAATGATGTTCGTCTGAATGCCAAACCTACGGTCAATCATGGGGTCTTGTTGTTCGATGATGTGCACTGCATTGCGTCGTTGATTGCCAGGATCCTATCGGTCAACCACTATTGTCTACGGCTGACCGAAGTCTGCCGCGCTTACGGCTCCTCAAAAATAGAAACGAGCAGCAGCAGCAGAAGCAGCAGCAGGTGCAGTGCTACCCTGTCAGGCCGTCAACCCTCAACAATCTCGCAGCTCGACCTGCCTATCTACTGGCCAATATCCCATGGATATGCACGAACTGTGCTTGCAACTGATGTCACAGATTTATAGACAATTGATGAAACTTGACCCTTCTGGTTCCAATCCCACGTGGCAGCAATGTCTATCTGAGACTATGGGGCCAGGGCTCTCTCTTCTGGTTACTGGTCGGAGCTAAAGAACTTAGACCGCCCGTTCGGCATCACGTCGGTGATTGCTGTGGGGAGGGTTTGATTATGAAGTACGTGGGCGAAAATTTCCCCTCGCCAACTAACTCACCATTTAGTCAGTTATCTCTCCTTTTGTCATTATTCTTGACTAATCGGTTGCGCACATAATTTTAGGCAGCATGATAATTACAGAATAACGTGGAATCGATCGCCTTCAAGCCGGAGCTCCTCGTGATCACGATCTGCTGCCGATGACAGAACTGGCCCTAATCCGACCAGCTAGACAAACTAATGTGAAACAGGTCCCTCAGATAGATTGTTTCGAAAGAATAGCCTCGCAGCTTTCGCACTGAATCATTTGACGTTTGAACCCTAATCTTGTTGGAGGAGCTACCCCAACCAACAAGCTCTGTCCAGGTGCTTGCGGAACCAGGTTGGTTGGAGACTTGCGGTGCTGTTTCGTCTCAACCACCTAGCAACTACCTCGTGGACGGAAACTACCGAGTCGGTCACTGATCTTGAGCACTACTTTGTACATGACACATGACAGCATTTCCTGCCGTTGGCACCGGCCTGCACGGGCGATTCCGCTCCACTGCAGCGTTGCTACCTCATCGGCTAATGCCATGAAGTCTTGAAAGAGCTATATTGACCGTCGATCTGTTTTGATTCGAGTTATGAAACCCAAGCGAAGTGCCCCGGTTTACACCTGTTCGGATGCAACCGATAAAAGGGTCCAGCTACTCAAAGTCGAAGAGACAGCAAGTCAATGCGCCGTTCCCTCATACGTCTCGCACCAGGCTGCGTGGTAGGTAAGCTAATGATTCGTCTTAGTTCGCTTAAAATTGATTCCCTAACATGACCAACTACTGTAGCACAGTCGCCGCACCAATCGTAGATCTAAAGGATTCAGCCGTAGCAAGTAGTCCTGCTCGCTGTTCGGGGATCGGATGCCACAGGCTAGAACGCGGTCTATGGCTGGTTCTCATTTACGTCCAATACGGGGGAGATCCGGCCCGGATTAATTCGACCGAACTCCTAAACCTGCTTTGGCCCAATCTCAAATGGCCGTGGTCACCTGGACTGCTGTCCGAGACGTTAGCATTCAAGCCGGACGTACAGTGCTGAGCGCATGCAAACGAGCAGTCACGAGAGGTATCTAGAATCAATTAAGATTACGACGTTCACTGTTAAGCTAGAGCCGGGGAAAGATGACAAGAGTCTGTCTCTGAATGGAACTTCTGTTTACAGCTGTTGTCATGAACGGTGTACAGTATGATCTATGGTGTAGTGGGTAGAATTCGCCCGAGGGTTTGACATAGAGCATTCCAATAACGGCTCGCGAGCCGAGGCTGAAGACGGCCCTTCAGATAGATGGGTAGAAATAACCATTCTCTATCTCTTTCTATTTTCTAAATTCGTGCGCATTTACTTGGATTTGTGTGTGTGTGCGAATTCCAGCGTGCATCGACCATAAGTCATCTTTACCGATCAAAACATGAAGATAGCGAGCTTGACAGTGATCCAACCACGGGACGTTGGGAGTGAACCATGGTTCACTCCCTACAATGTATGATGTCTTGCTAGCGAATTTTTCACTGAAGGAGAAACAACACAAGAAAATTTGGAGTATAACCCTTCCACACGGACCATGAGGATCGTTGCTAAGCGAAGAGCGTAGGGTTGAAACTGGACCGTTGAAGGGGGGGGAGGGACGAGTCCGAATATGCCCAGTCTGAACCCGATTTAGAGATTTGATATCGGAAGGGTTTCAGAATGCAGGGAAAGGCCAGCCTCAATCCGATCTGAAAGACTTGGGGAGGTGATATCACAGATCCGTTGTCGATAGCTGTTATTCTCCGGTCTGACGCCTCCTCCGTCTGTCTCCGGCACCCTCTTCTCCTTCTCCCTCCCTCTCTCTCTCTCTCTTTTGCTCCTTCTCCCCACTGGCCTCCTGCGATCCCGTCCATAACCAGCTCAAGCAGGTTAGCAGTTACAGAATAGCCCAGCCACCCGCCAGCAACCGTTCCGTCCGCCGTTTTATGTTCGAGTTTTAGTATCGAATTGACCTCCTGTCCACTTTTTTCCCTGGCGTCCCAGGCATTTCCCCTCTTTTCCTTCGCCCTGGGAGCCTCAAGGCGAGTCAGTTATAATTAGTAGTACGTAGATAGGAGAAAAGAAAGAAAGGAAGGAAGATCGCATGGTAGATATTTTTAATTTGCGCATCATAACTAGTATTATAATAATATATGATGTCCACCCCGTAGGTCCACTTCAGTTAACAGATCATATTATTTCCTCTTTCTTTTTTTTTTTCTGTCACGCCGTAATTTTGTTTTTCTTTTTACTTTTTTTCGCCTATACGTTTGAGATTAATTTTCCCCAGTGTCAGTTGCCTCGGATCGCCTCAGGATCCCGGGTCCATGACTGGAGGAAACGACCATCCAAGTGATTGATCGAACAATGCGTGTGGATGCCTGACCGGGTGGTGCAGTTGCAGATGTCCCCAGACGCAGCAGGAGCTGGCCATGCAGCCTCTCCTCATCCTCCTCCTCCCCTCCCCTCTTACTCCTCCTACTCCTCCTCTTCCTCCTCTTTCTCCTCATCCCCAGCAGACCATCGTTTCAACGCTCGACGCCGGCGAAAAACCGAATCCGCGGTGCACCCGCCCATCCATGTATCGCTCGAGGACCCGTCGGCTTCACTCTGTCGCCGTTCGATCGTGAATCGGGCCCGAACCATTACTTTCAGTGCTGGAGCGACGTCAGAGTCAAACCCAAATCTGACCGGTTCTTCGTCCCCTCAGCGAGCCTCTCGTCCGGACGCAAGCCCCAGAACTCCACCGGAATCCCAACGGAGCCAGACTCGAGCTCGAGGGCTCGCCCCGAGCCTCCGTAGTTCCGCCGTGGCCACCATGATGTTACGAGCGGACGATCCCCGTGACGCGGGCAAAGCAGCCGCGCTAACAAGCCCATCCGCCGGCGCCAGCGACTCTCCTTCAGCACCGACAACAACAACACCCAGTGCTTCCTTTGCCTCTCCTTCGCCGTCGGCTTCCACCCCCGTTGCGTCGCATCTCCCCCCCTCCTCCTCCTCTTCTTCCTCTTCCGTTCCGCCCGTCCCTCGCCTCCCGCAGAGCCGTTTCAGCTTCGAATATCAGTATCCCCTGCGCAAGCGAGCCCTGACGTCGCACCTCAGCGCGGCCGCCTCTGTGCTGAACGGCGACGACACGCCCCCGGGTCCCGACCCGTCCCCTACTCCCCAGCGCACTTTCTTGTATGACAGCCCCCGGCGCTCCGTCCCCAACTTCCATCTGTCCCACCTTCGCGATCAGGCGCTGCTCAATTCGCAACCACCATCGCCGCGACGGGCCTTTGAAAAGGATAGCGACGCCGCGCTGCCCCTGGACGCCAACTCGACCGTCCGTGTGTTGAGTCCCAATGCAACGAAGCGTCGAAAGTCGTCACTTTACGCTGAGCAGTCGATTTCGGACGTGAAGAGCATCATGCCATCATCCACCGTGACATACTCCCAAGGGAGATTGCTTGCTGACGAGCGCAATCGCGCCATGAACGGCCTGGATCGTCAGGGAGACGGTAATAGAACCCCAGTCGCGGACGATTTTCGCTCCAAAAATGAGGATGTATTTTTGAATATCGCAAGATCAGACTCCGACCGTCGAGAGTCGCTGGGGCGCTCAGAACTCCGACGCGTAAGTAACACCAGACCTGTGATTCCTGTCAATAAATTGGTATCCTGTAGACTGACCAGGCCATTGTAACAAACTTACAGTCGCGATTCAGAATGTCCGGTAGTGCGCTGCGTTCTCCAACCTCTCGGGTTGCCGAACAGACCCCTTCTCCGGAACAACTTCGCTTGAATACCTACGACAACCCCTTGCATTCCCAAAATGATCCTCCATCCACCCCCCACACCTCTGTACCATCATACTCTTACTCGGCGTCCGCCCATCCGCTGGATGAACATAGTCGTTCCTCCTCTTTGGCGTATGCTTCTGGCTCAAGATCTACCATTGGCCTCCCTCGAAGCCGATTGGGTCGCACCAGTCCAGAACCCTCCCCATACAGCCCCGAATCGCACCTCGAAAGACGGGGTTCATTGCACGAGTCGCGAGCATATCGACATTCCGCTCTCTCAACTATCCGAAGCAGTCGGCAACCGTCCAGCTCCGAGGCCACGGAACGCGCCCGATTCGAGCCCGACCGGTCCCGTCAGGATGGGACGGAGTCAACCTTGTCGACTAACGCACCTTCTACTGTCTGGGACGAGTTAGAGGATCTAAAATCGCGGATCAAGAAGCTAGAATTAACGGGCAAGCTTCCGCCTTCATCCCAGGAGGCGATATCATCTGCATCCGGAGACCGACCACGCACTGCGACCACGACGGTTACTACGGTGTCATCCTCACCGAAGCGCGGCCGCAAATCCAGTATAGCAACAGGCGATCTCGACCAGAATGCGGCCCCGAGTCCGGTCCATCCTCTCCTACAATCGGCCTTGACTAAGTCCAAGGAGGTGTTGGGTAACGAAGTCTACGCAGCCCTGGAAGTCACTGTTACTGATGCGCTTGCGCTGTCTACCCTACTGTCATCCAACAAGGCCCCATCGGGCGGTGTTTCTATTGTCAATGGCTACCTTCCATCAGACAGACAAGCTAGGCGCAAGGCTGACAGTGTATGTCGCAGCTTGACTGAGCTGTGTCTCGCATTATCTGATGATCAGCTTCGCCGGCAGCCGTCCACGGCCCTGGAGGTAAAAGCGGATGAACAACAAATCAATGGCCACGATGACGACGATACGATTACACCTACCCCTCCATTTCGCCGAAGCACAATCCAGGAGCCAGAGAGCCTTTCCAGACGGCAGAGCAACAGCAGAGTCACCAGCCGTTTAGAGGCACGTCGGGCTAGCATGGCGAACAACGCGGCTTCAGACAACCAAAACAACAACAAGGGCACCGATCAGGGTCCAGATGCCAAATTGACCCAGTCGCCTGGATCTTCGGCGCCTGTGAGACGATTGAGCCGACTTTCAACTTCGTTGCGGACCAAGAGGGTGCACACCGACGACGATAATGCGCCGGATCAGAGTCCACAACCTCGATCAATTCAAAGAAGCATGACAGACATCACCAACCCAGCAGCAACATATCGTGTCTCGCCCCGGCAACGGATTTCGCATGGATATACGGCATCGCAATCGATAGCTGACTCCAGTCCTGAGCGAAATGTCAGATATTCAACCCCATCCCAACCGTCGCAGCTCCCTCAGCCTCGTACCCCGACACTTTCGCAGTCAGCGATCCCGCTCCGTCGGAGCATTTTAACGCCCGGCTATGTCCCCGCAACATCCCGCTCCAATATTCAGGCGGGTTCACGTCGATATGGACTGTCTCCTGGTATTGGCTCTGCCGCTCTCGGTGGTGAAATGCCAACCGAGGACGCCATGTCCACTACCCCTCGCCAGGAGCCTTCGCAGACAAGAATCATCGCCCCATCGCAAAAGCTGGCTGCTAGCTACACGCCGATTGCGCAGAACCGCCTGCGCGCAAACAGTCTTGGAGCGCGACGATTTGGCCTACGGCAGCGGCCAATGGCCGTTTCTGATGAGGCCGTCAATGGTCTCGATCAGCGCGTTGACTAAATGTTTGCGTCCGTTTTCTCCAAAAAGAAATACTCCACGTCGTTTACGCCCTCCACCTACCTATAACGCAGCGACTCAATCTTGGTATTTGATTTTCTGTTCAGCCGGCGTTACTCTGTTTTCATTGTATTCCGCGGCCTGCCAGGCACACATTATGTCGAGGTGTACGAAGCGCTTTCCGCCTGCATCTTTAACGAGGACTTCCGATTCAAGACCTGATTGACTGACTGACCCTTACATAAACCAACCAAAACACATGCATGCATTCTTGAACTCAATGCATTGTACGAGCTTATCATTCCGTTCAAGCGACCCTCACGGACCATTGTGTTTCTATTTTTTTTTCTTCTACATATACATACAAATTCTTGGTTGCGGTCAAAGTCAACCCCAAGAGAGGGTATGACTACGACACAGCACAAGCTCAACAAGTAACGGGATTCACGATCTGTTTGTCTTGTCATCACCTATTCTATTCTCACTGTCATTGATACTCGTTCATCTTTCTTATCATTTTACCTATTCATGTACAAATATACGGCTTTGCGGTGATGACACGCGTTAATATTTTTCCTATATCTCCCGAATGATGAACGGAGTGTTGTTGGACCTGGTGCTTCGGTGGTTTTATTCGTCTTGTCTTCTTTCCTATACATACATACACATCCTTTCATTGTCTCTCATTACTACTTGTTCATTTTTCTTTTTCTTTTTCTTTTTTTTTTTTTTTTTTGAACTCATAGAGGGGGTATGTTATTCCTACGATTCTTCTTGTTTCTTATTTTACTTTCCTTCTGTTCCTGTCAATACATGATGAATACGACCTTATTTTGGCATCTCATGCTTCTCTATTACTGCGTAGCCTGCCACAAGTAAACCGTAGATAACCCAGGTAACTGATTATTATATTTAAAGAACCCCCTTCTATACAGTTCGTATTATCACTACATAGTTTGTACGTTAGTAAGTATTTCGTGTTTCGATTGAACCCAATCCGAATTACCACTACCACCACTACTACTATTACCATTACCACTACTTAGTAAAAAATAATATATCCACGCTCTGTAGTATGCATATCTATCAATCCATCCATCCATCCATCCATCCATCCATCCATCCATCCATACTGATACTAATTATGGCACACAACCCATCCGGACAATTTACTGTAGATCGATCGATCGAACTATTAACTAGTTTACTACCTAGGTAGGTTAGTGAGTTACTAAACAAATACTAGTAAATATCAGTCAGCCAGTCAGCTGATGATCGACGGACGGGGGCTCGGTCATTTTTGGTTCGGTTCGTCTGAGGTCAGGTCAGATGATCATGTGGTTTCTTTTTTCTCTTCAAGTTTCTGCAACGTAACTGGGATCAGATGATCGTCGGGGGGGTGTGGTGGTCAGGTGACTGATCTTGCTTATTCTAGTATTATTTGATGACGTTATGTGTCTACTCTTAAGTTACTAGAGTGAACAAAAATGGTTTTTTGTTGATACCACTGATAGATAAGAATGATGAATCTACGTCTACTGCTCAGTGGCATACAGGAATACAGAATGGTCATGTTCCATCACACTAGGTTTTCATTTCATTTTGTAGTATCGATAGTCCTGGTCCCTGATTATACATGCCTGAGAAGCCCGGAGATGAAATTTGAAAGGGACCCTTGCATATAATAAGGGAAAAACACAGCTGGGTAGCCCCTCCTGGGTTTATATGTTTCATGTGACAGGTAAGTGAGGATAGTTGCTCGACAAGAAAAGAAGAGAGGATCAGTGGAACGGAACAAAGGCAGTGCGAGTAGGGGGACGGTGTGGAAAAGATTGCGAGTTGTGTGAGGGGGGCGGATCCCAGTTTCATTGTAGGTTTGAGGTTTCGGATAATAAGGAAGAGAGCAACTTTTCAATCAACGGTGATGGAAAGGCAAGACTAGGTAGGATACGGAACAAAACGGGCGGGCAAGAAGGGAGAAGTCAGGAACATCAGTGGGAGGACATGATGTCGTTGGTTCCGAGTGCGGTTCATTCAAGGAGATAGTACTGGTATCTAACAGGCATGCATGGTCCGCCTCAGCAGGCTCTGGCTTCTTGCAAAGCCCAAGAAGCTCCACATACGAGAGGAATTATAGAGTAACAGAGAATATGATAGTTAGAGAAAACGACAGCATCAAGAATCAAAAAGGAGTAGCACAAGAGGGGGCAGTGGTCATCGCGCGACTAGAGTTTTTCGGAGAAAATGTTCATCGAGGGTCGAGCGGGTGAAGAGAGGGCGAAGCTGTGCTGGTCGTTTACTCCTGAAGCTGGCTGCGGCGGGTCTTCTCAGCCTCGAGGTTCTCGTACAGAAGGTAAAGAGCCTTCTCGTTCGCCTGAGCGCTACCCATGATGGTGAACATACGTTCGCCCGTCTCGTCATGGGGAGCCTTGGCGATGGAGATCCGGGCTCCAGAGCTCCTGCGGATCTCGGTGATCTTGCTACCACCTCTGCCAATGATGCAGCCAACCATGTCAGCGGGGATGCTGATGTTCTGTGTTTGGATCTCCTCGCCATCTTCGGTGACAAGCGGGTAACCACGGTTGCTGGTGTCGGGGTTGGATCGCCTGCCGTAGCCACCGGACTGGTCGCTGAAGTCGGCACCGTTACCGGTGCGGTTGTAAGGACGGCTGTTGTAGCCATTGCCGACGCTCTGGTTCATGGTGCTGGTGCTAGGGGTAGTTCCAACAGACGCACGGACGGCGGGGTTGTACAGGATAGTACCGGTACCGCGCTGCCAGTCGTCAATCAGGCACTTTCCGATCTCCCAGACGGCCTTCTCGATACCCTCGGGGGTGCCCTGCACTTCGACGATACGCTCGGTCGACTGGGGGAGCATTTCCTTCTGCGCGACCATGCGCACGCCCGATGCATCCTGAATGTGCTTGATCTTGAGACCTTGGCGACCGATGATGGTACCCATCTGGTTGTGAGAGATCAAGAGCCGAACGGCTATACAAGAGTCAGTTTGATGTAACTAGCAAGTATTTGTTCAGAAGAAAAACTCGAATGACTCACGGTGAGTTCCATTGTTGGACACAATGCCACCCATGCCCATCTGAGGGGCGCCCTCGAGCAAACCCTTGGCAACCAAAGCATAGGCTCTGGCAGTGCCGTTCAGAGGACCAGTGACGGTCAAGACGCGGTCGTGAACACCAGGAACAACCTTGCTCACACCAGCCTTGACGCCGGTTTCGTCACGCAGGTCAGCAACGTTCTTGCCAGACTTGCCGATGATGATGCCGGCTTCCTTGGACGAAACGATGGCGCGGAGAGTCAGCATAGACTGAGCGTACTCTTCCTCGGTCTTGGGTGTCGTCTCAATGTCGACATCGTCAATCATGTCGACATTGTTCGGGGAGGTCTCGTCGACCATGGTGGTATCGTGCAACTCGGTAGGGTCCATTATGTCGGTAAAAAGAGGAATGGTGAGGTTTGGGCGATAGAAAAAAAATTTGGGGATAGAAAAGGTAAGGTTTTTCGTTGACGGAACTTTTCCCACGAATTAGTGTTGGCACACGGGAGGGGAGTGATGATTTTCGCGAGATGTCACGGTAAAGGGATAACACAAGGAAAGAGGCAAATGAGGTGGCGCGCAGGATTGGAGCGGAGAACAGGAAGCTCTTACCTAAAGTCGTAAAGTGAAGCAGAAAGACGATGAAAATCCGAAGAGATGAAGATTAATCTGCGAAATCCGGGACGGGAAGCAGGAAGTCGATTGGGTGGCCGGAGAGGGGGCGAAGAGGATGGGATTCAGAGGGGTTTTCGGCGGGCGGGGGAAAAGGTGGAGGGATTTGGGAGATGGGGAGGGGAGACGAAGGGACGTCGGAAGGAAGAAAGGAAGGAGAAAGAGGAGGAAGAGGTGGAGGGAGGAAGAAGAGGAGGAAAGGAGGATGGAAGAATGGAGAGGAAGAAGAGGGAGAAAGAAGCAGAGGGAAATGAGGAGGGAGGGAGGAGGGAGAGATGGGAAGCGGAGAGGAAGTGGTGGGAAGCGAGCAAAGAAGGAAAAGGTGGAAGAAGGAAAAGAGGAGGAGGAGGAAGAAGAAGAGAAGAGGAAGAGTGGAAGAGGAGCGAAAGAAAGCAGTCACTCACTCACTCACTCAGTCGGCGCTGATGCGACACCTTCGGGCTTAGTTTCGTTTTTCGGTTCACTCGTGCGGGAATCAATCAACAAGGGCTATGCCTGCTGTCTTTTTCATGTCCGCCACGCTGCTGGCTCGCGCGAATTCAGATTCATCGTTCACGCTGTGTGTGATCTGTCTATTTTACTTCTACTCCAGGAAAATTCCCCAATTGGTCTTCTCGTCGCGTTGGTTGGGATGCTGGTGCTGTACCGCTGTGGTGGTATCCTTGATTACTACCACCACATAATAATTAATGGACATTTTTGACCAGACTGCATGTCATGTAAAGGATTCAAGCGTTTCTTATCTTCATTGGTCTAGCGAGATCCCATTCTTATTCTATTTATCCGCCTCGAAAATCACCTTTTGCACCTTCATGGCGTTGAAAATCTCATACGCCTCAACCGCCTGCGACAGGGGCATAATCTTGTCGGCCATGAAGCTATTACCACGCATTCGTCAGCTTTTGCAAACACCAAAAAATTGCACAGAATCAGAATTAAGAAAATGTGGCATACCCAAGACGATGTTGGTTTCTCTTCAGAACTTCCAACGCATCTTCCGAAACGGACCGCACAGGGCACCGGCCCATCTGGACCGTGAGGTTCTTTCCATAGGCCTCACATCCATTCCATGGGATCTGGCAATTATTCCCAATCAATATGCAGACCTCACAAAGGACTCGAAACATCACTCACCTCTCCATTGTGCACACCAACACTGCTAATGGTGCCGAACGGCCGCAGCAGATCATAAGCAGTCTTCAGCGCCGGACTCAATCCCACCACCTCAATGACAGCATCAGCACCACGTCCCTCCGTCAACTCCAGGACGCGCTTG